TCTCTCCGCCGGCTTGTTCTCCACTGAGCTCTGCAGGCGGGCTTTTATACTGCCGGGTTGGCGCCGTGACCTCTGAGGGGCGGGCGCTGGACCCGGTGGCTCCGCCCACATTGGTGTTAGGGGAGGTTCGGCCCTCAGCGGGGCTGTGGGGTATCCCACCGCCTCGCTACACACACACACACACACACACACACACACACACACACACAGAGTCCTGCCAGTGATGTTTATAGTTACCAGTCTGTTGTAGCTCGAGTCAATCTAATGGCCAGTTAGATTGAGCACGAGTGTGGAGCTGGGTTCTGTCGGTCGCGATCCAATGCTCCGAGGCTTTGCAGGACTGAACCCAGAGTTCCATGGCAAAACACCCCAGCTTTATAGTTGTAAATTCTCATTTGAGTCCATGCATTTTGCAATGTTATCCTGTAATCATTAGTCCTTAAGTGGTGTTATTATTTGATGATTATTGTCCGGCTTCCCATCGTTATCTCCTATTTGTTGTCTCGCCTTTGGGGGTGCCTGCCTCACCTCTGAGGTAGTCAGTGCTGCTAACATGTTTAACATCAGATACAATGAATGTTTTCTGATTGTCTCCTGGTCTTTTCAAGTCTCTTACTTCTTCTTGACCATCTGGACATTTGTGATGGCTTTCACACCTTATCTTTTCCTGATGCATGCATTCCTCATTCACACAAACAATCTCTTACAGAAACCTTCAAAGGTATACAGACAGCAGTATTGTATATTCAGCAGAATACATTGTAAATCAAGCCTTGCTAAATCTTATAACTAAAACAATTCACAGGTCTGGTCTATACTACCCGCCTGAATCGGCGGGTAGAAATCGACCTCTCGGGGATCGATTTATCGCGTCCCGTCGGGACGCGACAATCGATCCCCGAATCGGCGCTCTAACTCCACCAGGGGAGGTGGTAGTAAGCGCCGCCGACAAAAAGCCGCAGAAGTCGATTTTGCCGCCGTCCTCACAACGGGGTAAGTCGGCTGTGATACGTCGAATTCAGCTACGCTATTCACGTAGCTGAATTTGCGTATCTTAAATCGACTCCTCCTTGTAGTGTAGATGTACCCACATTGGGGCTTCAGGCTCTCAACATTCCTCTAATCTTCTTAACATAGATACAATAGAGAATCCTGTCTCTTACTTCCTAATTTGTAATACATATAGGAAATCATAGTAGCTTTATAACTTATTCTAAAACAAAAGGGTGACCATAATCAGTCATAAGGATTGTTCTGGTCTGTCATTCCTTTCTGCTATTCAAAAAGGGTGGCTGACAGGATGAAATCAAATCATACATTAATTCTCATAGTACATTATAAAATCCAGCTCCTACACCAATGGGATTTGGACCAGGTCCCTGAACAGAAGCAGTATGCACTTCTGATTAGTTCTTCAGTCAGCTGCAAGTATGTACAATGCTCTGAAAATGTAAGCTCTATATAAATGTGAAGTATCACATTATTTATTTCTTGGCTGAGGGGATAGAAATATCCCCCTAAACTATAGATTCTTTTGGGATGTGGGCCACATTAACCTGCCTTTTCCCTTGTGCTCTCTTGAGTGCTATGGTGAGATTCTGCCATCTATTGCACAGGGAGTAGAGGCTCCCTCCTCCACTTCCTCTTGTGTGCCAGTGAAGTAAAGGGCAGGATTTGGCCCTGTATCAGAGTTCTGAGATGGAACCTATGAATTTACAAAAAATTTTGGAAGATTTAAAGGGAGTCATTATTCAATGAAATTGCTCAGAGTGATCATATGTCTAAGTGCTGATAAGGGAATCCAATATGACAGGAGCTATGAAAATATGAAATGACTATATAAAATTCACCATATACATTGATTACAAAAATTGATTTCAAATTGAGAGACTGACAAGTAACTCTAACCTTAATAAATAATTTTATTCAAGTTTGCATGTTATATGCTGTCCAATAAAGCAAATGAAGATAGAATTCTCTTTCCCATCGACTTAAAAAAGGACTTTACCTGAGTAAAGACTGAATAGGATTTGGCCCTAGATTTGCACTGCTGTGCAGAAACTCCTGAAATACACATGCAGCATACCACTAAGGTTATATTCTACAGTTACATCTTTTAGGGGTCTACACAGATAATATCTTCAACCTTTCTGGAACACTATGTACATGAATGTTAGCAGCAAATGGGGCTGTAATGGCCAGGGCAATATTTTCTTTGTCTTACTGTTTGGTGCAATATTGCTACTACGTTCCCTAAGGACTAGTATGTGCACAGGGGTTTTTTATACTGATTTAACTAAACTGATTTAGAATCTGATATAGTAAGACTGATACAAAATTTTGTAGACCAGATCTAACAAATATTTTTGGGAAAAAATTGTTTTATTTTTAAAGTACAGGAACTAACTGCTGTGGTTCCTGCTGTTTTTCTGCTTATTAACTAACCTCCTTCTGTGGATGGCATAGCCCAAACAAATAAAGTATAAATAGCTAACAAGTTGTATAATATTTTCAGAAAAGAATTAACTATTCTAAATGCCAAGAACTCCATTTCATGTAGCAGTAGCTTGTTGCTAACAACCTTCACTTTCCTCAGTAGATGTCACTAGATTCCAAGGTATTTCCAAGATGAGGCTAGAGGGCACAGAAGAATGTTGACTAGAGCTGGGCAAAATTTTTCAGACACCTGTTTTTTTTGCTGAAAAATGAAGTTTGGGGTCAAATTAAACATTTCATTAATCTGCTTTCAATTTGCCAAATCCTTTTGGTAAAAAAACAGCAACCAAAGTCTAAACATTTGTCCCTGTTTTGTTTGTTTTGTTTGTTTTGTTATCCTTGTTTATTCCCAGACCCACCCCAGAGCCCTCACTCCCATGCCCCAGCCCCTGAGCCCCCTCCTGCACTCTGAACCCCTCATTTCTGGCCCCATCCCGGAGCCTGCAGCCCTAGCTGCAGCCCTCACCCTCTCCCGCACTTCAATCCCCTGCCCCAGTCTGGTGAAAGTGAGTGTGGGGAGGGGGAGGAGAGTGAGCAACAGAGGGAGAGGGATGGAGTGAGCGGGGCGGGCCTCAGGGAAGGGGGCAGGACAAGGGTGTTAGGGTTTTGTGTGATTAGAAAGTTGTCAACTTTATAGACTGCAGAGCAACCTTACAACCCGAGCCCCTGCAATGCCCGGCACGCTGGTAGTCTATAAGTACTGTTTTAAAATGAAGGGTATGATACATTGCTTTAAAACAAAAAAACTCTGTATACCAAGGATCACTTTCATCACCATGTCATTGGCATCAACTCTAGGGGAGAATATGGCACCTATTTAACAGTCTATGCCAATACTATACAAGTGTTTAGGACAGGAAGTGAAGAAGGAAATATCTAGTGGAAGCTGTGCTCGCTCTGGTGGGGGATGGCCTAGGCCCTTCAGGGGTCAGGGTGAGTCTGGCTGATTGGGATGCAGGGGGCCTCTGACAGGCAGGATCTGTCGCTGCCCTGCCAGCAGGGCCGGCATTAGGCCAATTCAACCAATTCCCCTGAATTGGGCCCCGCCCCTAAGAGGGCCCCGCGCCCAAGCCCCAGTACGGCGTACCGGGAAGAGCCGGTATGCTGTACCCGGGTGGCCCGGCTTCCCCAGGGGGCAATTTAAAGGTCCTGGGGCTCCCAGCAGAGGCTGGAGCCCCAGGCCCTTTAAATTGCCACCAGAGCCCCACTGCTGGAGCCCTGGGGTAGGGATGCGGGACTCTGGGGGCTATTTTAAAAGTCCAGGGCTCCCGTTGCTTCTACCGCCCCGGCCCTTTAAATAGCCGCTGGAGCCCCGCTGCTTCCCCAGGGCTCCTGAGGCTATTTAAAGGACCGGGTCGGTGGAAGCAGGGGAGCCCTGGGCCCTTTAAATAGCCCCCGAGTCCCGGGCTGCTGCTGCTACCCCGGTGGGGGAGGAGGAGGGGGCACTTACCGTACAGGCTCGCACCAGCCCTGCACCCCCTGCCCTGCCCGCAGCCAGCCCCTGTCTCCAGCCAGCCCCGCACCCCCTGCCCTGTCTCCAGCCAGCCCTGCACCCCCTGCCCTGTCCGCACCAGCCCGTCTCCAGCCAGCCCCGCACCCCCTGCCCGCAGCCAGCCCCGCACCCCTGCCCACAGCCAGCCCCTGCCGCACCCCCTGCTCTGTCTCCAGCCAACCCCTGCCACACACCCCTGCAGACCTGCCCGAAGCCAGCCAGCCCCACACACCCCCTGCCCGCACCAGCTCTGCACCCCCTGCCCTGCCTGCAGCCAGACCCTACCTCCAGTCAGCCCCTGCCCTGCCTCCAGCCAGCCCCATGTCCAGTGGTGCCCTGCAGTTCCCAGGGCAGTAACCCTGCACACCTGCTTCAATGAGGGGGGCAGGGAGCAGCTGGGACCCACACTTGTGCACACACACACACCCAGGGAGTGGTGGGGACCCACACATGTGAAACGGAGCTCATTTCTAGTTCAGGCCCATCTTTTTAAAGAAGAACTTTAGGTAGGGTTAACATACATCCGTATTTTCCCGGACATGTCAGGCTTTTAGGTTCTTAAATCGCCGTCCGGGAGGAATTTTTAAAATTTAAAAATTTAAAAATTCCTCCCGGGAAAATACGGACGTATGGTAACCCTATGGGTACAATAAATATATACTGTGGCACATCCCTTAAATCAAAACTTCTTATAGGGAACCAATTGCTAAGAAATGAAAGGCTTTTTTTTTTCCCGTGGTTTTATTTTTTTTTTTAAGTCATCCCTGCTGGGGCCCCACCAAAAATGTTCGAATTGGGCCCCGCACTTCCTAAAACCGGCCCTGCCTGCCAGGGTCCCTCCCCTGTGGCGGGTGACCCGGGAAGGCCGCAGGGGGGCTCGCCAACACTCCCCCTCACTTTGTTCCGCCCGGAACGTTTTGGTGAGTGCACCGAGCCCCCCCCCTCCGGAACCCGCGGACGGCGCCGCAGCTCCCCGGGGGCGCATTAGCCAACGGACTCGGTGTCACGAGACGCCAGGCCTTAGCGGAAGTAGGAAGTGAAGGTAGCGAAGCTCCGAGCTGGGCCTCGGGGGCTGCTCTAGCGGCCGTAAGGAGCCGGGCCCGGAGCCCGACATGGCGGCGCGTGCGCGGCTCTGCTCGCTGCTCGGCTCGGTGCTGGCCCTGGCCGCGCTCGTGGGGCAGGTGACGGGGGTCAAGGTGAGCGGAGCGGGGGCTCCCCAGCCCGGCCGGGATCCCCGCGGAGCCGGAGCCAGCCTCGCCCCCATTGCTGGCATCCAAGTGGCCCCGCCCCGCCAGAGCCCTGCCCCCTTACCCTGCTGACCCTCCTCAATAGACTCCCCCGCCCCAGCAGATCCCGGCCCCGGGGGGTCTGGGGGCCGCGGGGGAGACGCGGACGGTACGAGGTGGTGACGGGGGTGACACTCTCAGCCTGGTGCCAGCGGGAGCCCGGGGAATAAAGGCTCGGGGTTGTTGTCTAGTTTAGGCTCTTGCTGCTTCAGAGGGCTGGAGACGGGCGCGGGGCTTAGGGCGAAGAGGTGAGCCCTGCCTTGAAGAACTGGGCTCGGGCTTTCGAAAGCAGGGGCCGAAATACCTGGTTTGATTTTCAGGAGTTAATGGGCCCTCAGCGTTGTTGAAGATCGGCCCACTTACTTAGCAGACTAACTTTAGGCTCCTATTTTTTGAAAATCAAGGCCTTCGCTTGTCATACGAAGTAATTGAGGGGACTGGGACCAAAATCTTTAGTTAGGATGTTATTTTGAAAGGTGACATCTTCAAGTATGTAAAAATATCTGCATGGGGTTGAGTTTATGGACAGTTGGGGTTTATTGGAGTGAATGTTTTAAGGCAGCCATGAATAGGCATGATTCACTTCATCGTTAATAAGTTTTGATATAAGAAACCAAATGAATCCCCTTTTCCCACTACCCCCCTCAAGATTCTTGATGATTGCATTTTGTGTGGATTTTCCTCAATCGCCCTTAAAGTCCAGCTCTTTATTTGTGCCCTCTTATTATTGAACTACTCAATTTCTCATTGAAGTTTTTGGCACCCATCTCCTTGATTATCCCTCAGAAGTCTGCCTTAGTTTACCTAACCTATCAGTATCCCTCAGGTCCCGCATCATCTGAACTGTGTTTTTGTATGGTTATGTAGGCAATGCACTCATAAACTAGGGTAAATTTGAATCTTAATTTTTATTAAACCAACATAACTTGCTCAAGAGACAGAAGGCTGGGTCAGTGTGAAGAGAAGCTTTCTTTGCTAGAGGACCACCACCTGCTAATTGATGTAAGAGAGGGATTCCAGTAATCCATGTTCTCTTGTCTGTAACTGAACATGTACATGCTTAGACAAACAGATACATGGGTCTCATTACCAGAGTAAATGCTTATATTTGTTTTCCTGGTTGAAGGGTCTTGGCTAAGCCTGAACTAGGACATGAGGAATTTGTTGTGCACACCATATTGGATTTAGGAGGCGACTTTAGCTTATTCAACCAAGAAACTAATCTTGTGGGCTTTCAGCTGGTAGACAAGCTACTTCTTCATTTGCTGTCTGTGTACAATGTTGGTAAAATGATGGATGGTTTTAGCTTTTTAAATGAAGCTCTTTATAGTCTGGTTTACTGACAAGAAAAATCAGAGTTAGACATGAATAATAAACAAGAACAAAATGTAGATATTAGTCTACCAGTTGTAAAATTTAAGCTTGTGTTAATCTTGCAAGTAAATATTGTATTTAGTAAATTACTTGACTCTGACATTCTGTATTGAGGCACTGTCAAAGTGAATCTGTTAAAAATAAGAGGACAAGTGGTTGACACCCATCAAAGAGCCCCTTTCTTGAGACAAGGCTTCTGTATTGTGTGTATAGTCAGAATACTTATTGAGGCCCAGTTGTATAAAGGTATATATAGGGACTGTCACATGTACATCTTATTTCAGTATTTGTTTGTATCTTGGTGAACCAGTTTTATGCAATATTCCAAGTGTAAGTTCTCTAGCCCTCTTTAGGGCTCCAACAGCTTGTGCTGTTTCATTGATCTAGATTGTCTTGATTTTCTTTTATCTGATTTATGTTTCTTTAGGTGCTCCACTGTTGACTAGTATCTTGTAGTAGGTGAACATTTACAACATCATCAATTTATTTGCCCTTTTTATCTAGTTGTGAATACTCTTCATGAGCTAATTGCCAGCTAAGCGCTCCCATTTTATCCAGATATCTTATATCTCCTTTTTAGTATTAGTTAGCCCTCCAACTGTCATGTAACAAGATGTAAATACGTGACATTACTTGTTGTCTTCTGCAGGTGGCTGGTGTGCAGTGTGAACAAGATTGGCTCTAACATCCTTTATGCCTTCCTAATCAATCAAGCTACATTCATGTACCATTACTCTGAGCTCATTGACCAAACCAGGATTTTATTCAGTGTACATGTTTATTGTCAATTCTTTTTTAGCTAGTAGTCTCTTCTGCAATACTTTGTTGAAATTCAAGTCAGCTTTCAAGCAGGCTGCCCGTTTTTGCTTTTGCTGGCTTCCTGTCCCTTTCCCAAATAAATTCATCTGATTTGTGTTTAAGCATGCCATCATTTATAAATACATGCTGACCATCTTTGACCCATTCAGAAATCTGTTATATGTATGGACTTGAGGAAAGGGAAGGGATTTTTCCTTCCTATGTATATTTGCAAATGGGAAGTAAGTTATTGGAGGCTTTTTGCTTCCAGTCCAATAATAACCTAAAATATGAAAACCTCAGTTACAACTTCTCCATGCCATAGTAAGCTGTTAATTTTATCTTCTTTCTGTAATTTTACTCTTGTGCTTCCTTGGGTTTTATTACTATTTTCTCCCCTTTTGTTTGTTTCTCCAAGCGTCCTGTCCTCATTTTCCAGTTTCCCCTTTCTTTATTTGGGGACCAGGATGTCTTCTGGGATTCCCCTTTTCCACCTTCCACTTTGACCTCTCTGCTATTGTCTCCTTCATCCACCTAAAACAAGGACACTGTGCGTTCTGGTGAGCCTTCTAACAATTTCCCTTACAAGCCTTTCTCTTTCAAGTAAGAATAATAGTCACTGAAGAAAGATTTGTTCACAAGGGTCTCTCCCTACCAGTCTTCATTCAAGATGAATATTTCCTCCTTCATTCTTCTTAAACTGTTCTCTAGTTACACATCTGTATCTTCATTATACAGCTACCATCACAAATTGATTAATTCAGGTACACCTATTTAAGTAATCCTTGAAATCCTATTGTAGAAAATAAAGTATATTTTACAAATTCAGATAGTCTGTTCTTCCAAAGCAAAATAGGGAAGGCAAGCTACTCTTGCAGTCCAAAGTACACCTCTACCCCAATATAATGCTGTCCTCGTTAGCCAACAAATCTTACCGCATTATAGGTGAAACCGTGTTATATCGAACTTGCTTTGATCCGCCGGAGTGCGCAGCCCCGCCCCCCCCAGAGCACTTGATCTGCCGGAGTGCGCAGCCCCGCCCCCCCGGAGCACTGCTTTGCCGCGTTATATCCAAATTCGTGTTATATCGGGGTAGAGGTGTAATACAATTGCTTTTGGAATCGGTCCATTTTCTAGAAATTGGCTTCTGTCCCCAAAACTGCTAATAGTTCTTACATTTAAGAAAAATTGGTGATTAAGACAGGTTTCAATGGACATATGTGTGTAGTGTAGTATATAATATGTATTGCATCAACTATATGTTTTTGTAGAAGACTTTTTGATGGTTGATAATTTGTTCTAAGCATGTGTTTTCTTTACAGAATTCTGAGGATGTCCGATGTAAATGCATATGTCCTCCTTACAAAGATCATCCTGGCAATATTTACAACAAAAATGTTTCACAGAAAGACTGGTGAGTTTATGGAGTTCAGAAAGTAGAAGGTGTATTCTCATTAGGGTTATATTGCAGTTCAGTGGGTCATCCTTCATTAATGATTATATAGGGGATAGTTATTTCTTTTGTTGTGGCATGGGGAGAAATTTTATCCCATATATTAGTAGTTGATGCTCTCCCTCTTCAGAGTGTTCGCCTTGAACTCATTCTTCCTTCCCTGTTGGTTTTTTTTTGGGGGGGGTGGGGTGGGGGAAAGAAGGGACATAATTTGATTTGGCTTCTTGGAATTGTTTTTAGAATGTGGAGAACAAGTATGGTCATAGGACTGGGAGTTGGGAGATCTGATTTCTGTTCTATTCTGAGTTTGTTGAGTCACCTGGGCTCTACATGCCTGAACCTTCTCATGTGAGCAGTGGAGGAAAAGTAAAAACCAAAAGTTTTTTGAGGCCTAATTCATTTCTGTAAAGTGCTTTGTAATCCGTGGATGGACTATCCTGTAGAAGTGCAAAGTATTCATTAGTGACATATTGACCTTACCTCTTATCTATTTTTAAGAGACCTAGAGACCTCTGAGCATGATGAGAAGCCACAAATTAATAGCTCAATCCTGCAAATGCTTTAACGTCTGAGAAATTCCATTGAAATCAATGGAACCTATCATAGGAGTAGAGTTATTCATGTATGTGTCTGCAGGATTGGAGTTTAATTTATTAAATCACTCACTCTCATCGGACGAACAAAAAAGGTTTGGTAGAACCTACATTTTGTAGATTCAAAGCTTAAATTAATGTCATGAACATTATTTGAGTATAAAGTGCTTTGTCTAGTCAAGGCCATTATTTTATTCCAAATTATTAAATTTGTCACAGTAGAAATAATGTCATGGTGCAGTGATGAAACAGATTGAGATTACCTCAGTTGCAGCACACTTACGAAACCGTTTGCTACAAGCACTGCTGCCCATTATTTCACTTCTCTGTAACTAAAAATTACTTTCTCAGTGGCTTGCTTAATCTAGGATCTAGCAGAAGGCCTGCTGCTCCTATTTCATTAGGTAGATATTTTCCCTGAATTCAACTGGAGCAGAGTTGAACCTAAGGTTCCTTAGTATTGTCATTAATTGAAGGAAAAATCAGTTTTGAAGACTTGAACAATAAATTGTATGTGGAGAAAAACTGGTATATAATGGGTCTTGGATAACCTACTCTCCAGCTTTTAAATGTCATCTTGTAATCATGCTTGAGACCATTTGAGAACAGTTTATGGATTTGTGGACTTCTTTTGAAATGTCTTGATGCTATTTCAAATTCCTGATTTACTTTTTCAGAGGAGTATGATGGCTGGAGAGTGCATTCATGTGTAATAAAGCTGGGAACTTAGTGCTGTACAGCTGGCCTCTTCTCCATCTGCATGAGTTAGTTTTATTGCTGAATAGGACAGTGATATACTGCATTCACTTGATATTTAGCTCAGTTAGTTACATCGTACTAAAGAACCAGATCAATTTTTAATGTGCCTGTATAAGTTATTCACCATATAGTGGCCGCTTACAATTGGATTATCCAGACATTAAATTAGATTTTATATCCAGTGTGGTGTCTGTAATGTGATGATAATGAACTTACCATTAGGGAGTCTTATCAGGGCTTTTATTCACACTATTTTTCCAGGTTCAGACTTTGGACATGATCCTACAAAGTGCTGATGTCAGTATGAGTTGAGGATATCTTGACCTCACCAAAAGTGCTCACTGCTTTATGGGGTCAGGCCCACAACTACTGTAGACCGTTCAGCCCTGATGACTAATGCACTAGGCCCGGCATAAGGGATGTTTTATTCTAATAATTGAATACATTGTGCTCTCAGATATCAGTAAAATGTTAACCCTTTTGAAGGAAGTATGTTTGAATGGGTTTTAGTGCCCAAGAGACTGACCAAAGTGGGATAGCCATGGGTTGGCATTTAGTGGGGAGATGGAGGTGAGACACTTAACACTCTTCTGGCCTAATGAGTAAGGCTACGATTTTTTCACGGAGGCCGTGGAAGTCACAGAATCCGTGACTTCCAGCAACCTCCATGACTTCAGCCCCAGCAGCCAGGAGCTGCGTGTTCCCCCTGCTGCCCGGGGATTGGTCACATAGATCTCTAGCATTAATCTGGCCCAGCACTGTGCTAAATCTTAACTGAGCTGTCCTTGTAAGCAGATATTTTAAGGTTTGATAACCTGCTATTGACTTGTCCTATTGCTATGAGTTATGGGCACAAAGGCAGAAGTTGGTTCCAGCACCAAATAAGTGTTATGCACCAAAAGAGAGTCTGGGATGAGCACTGTGAGCAAGCAAACGGTGACTAAATGAAAGGCCTGGAATTACACAATGCATTGGCAGAGCAGTTGTCTTGGGACAGTTGGCGTCCAATGCTGTAATTTATAATGACTGCATTATATGCCAAAAGTTTGGTCACCGCAAAGATCTTGCCTTATGTTTTGTTTAGTTTTTAACCAAATAATGCGTGGGGTTGACGCTTCACTTTTCTTTCTACTGAACGTGTTCCTAAATGTTCACCTTTATGTCAGTTTAAATAAAAAGGTAACTTTATTCTTTCTCTGATACATGTGTGTAACTCACATTGGCAAAAGTGGGAGTTCTGTTCACATATCAAAGAGAGACTAAACTCTGTTTTTCTTCAGACAACATCTACTTGTTCTAAACTTTTCTAAATAGTGCCAAAAATGTGTTGGGTGCTTTACAGATCAGTAAGAAGATATGGTCTCTGCTCAAAATGGGCTTAAATCTGAATAGATGACATAGATGGGTAAGGAAATAAAAAAACTATTTGATGAACATGAGGAAGGGAGAAATGGACAGTAGCTGTAGTCACTCCTACCTTGCCATGATGTCTGTCAAAGTACACCTTGTCCGTCCTTTAAGTTCTGAGATTGCTTTTGTCATTTTAAAAAAAAGAAAAAGTAAATTCAACCCTTATAATTTCCTTCCTTGAGTCTATTGAGTGTTGAATACCCTGCTCTTGAACTTGTGTATTGTTTAAGGCCAAAAATCAGTGAAGCAAATGTCCTGTGCTCCATTCTTGTTTTTGAGATGTGGAGAAAACTAATGGAAACGCTAACCTGTGGGGGAAGTGAGGTCTGTTGCACTACTAATGGTGGCATCTTAATGTCTATTTCTCAATGTTTGAATAGACCAGTGCCCAACCTTGTTACACAGGCCACATAAATCTAAGCACAACCTTGTGTGGGTCAAATAGATTCTGCATATTTTAATAAGATTGAAAGTCACCTGTATTGAATTATATTTTAAGTTCATATATATATTTAGATAGGTTGTTTCTATGTACAGTCGTGTCTATTTACACACTTGTGTAAACTAAAATAATGTAAACATGACAACAAAATGCTAATGAATCGAACATTAGTATATTGTATTGAAGCAGGCTCTGGGCCTTATGAAATGCTCTAGTGGGCAGTAGATTGGGCACCCCTGGAATAGACCATCTATATTAGTTTTAATAAGAACTTTCTAGCTGGCTAACTAAGCTTGAGCAGCTAAGTCGCTATGTAATTTGTCTCATTTAAGTAAATTCAAAATGAAAAGTTAAAATCTGAAAAAGTTAAAGCTTGAACTTTTCTAGGTAGTAATTTCTAACTCTTAATCAAAGATCAGTTTCTCTTGCCCCTTGCTGTGGAATCGGCATGCATTCAGAGCAGAGGGAACTGCCTAAGTAGTGGAGTAAAATCAACCAAACTGACTCTAAGCTATTTTTCTTTCTCCAGTGATTGTCTTCATGTGGTTGAGCCTATGACCGTCCCTGGACCTGATGTGGAGGCATACTGCTTACGTTGTGAATGCAAATACGAAGAGAGAAGCTCTGTCACAATTAAAGTAAACATGTCATTCCACTGCTGTATATTAAACATTTCAGCCAGCTAATAAATGCACTACCTTTTATAAATGTATCCTTAAAAACAAAGCATTCTGAGTGCTCTAGAGGCATTATAATAATTAAATTACATAATCTCACTTAAACTCAGAATAGCAGTAGCACTAATAGTTAAGGCTGAATCATCAGGCTTAAAGGGACTCTATTAAATACCTTAGTCTCAAAATTTTCCATCCCTGACATTTGCTAAGGGGGATTCTTGTTTTTCTAAGAATTCTGGGTATTTTTATCAGTTTATGGGTTTAGTATCTTTCTCACCCTTTCCCCCACCTCCCCACAGTCCCTTGTTACGAAGATGCATATTTTGCTACCTTGACAGACACAGTTGGCTAACTATTCTCAGCTCAAAGTGATGCTGTGCCCACAAAAAACAAATCAGCCATGTTAGCTTTAATGGGTGAATTTAATAAAAATGAGCTCAAGTTTGGGCAGGCAACCAACCTTTGGGACATCCTCCAACCAGGTCTCTTATCTGCCTTCTTCGTCCCTTCGTTGCTCTACCTCTCCTGTACCTTTTTTGGCCATCTTGGGAGATCAGCTTATGGAGAAAGTTTTAAAGTGAATTTTGAAGCATAGATTTTGAATATTGTTATGCATTGACATTATCCAGTTAATAATAAGAAACTGTGGGTTTCTTGTCCAAACCTAAGATAATTGAATGGAGACAAACAAGCTTGACTGCAAAGGGAACCCCTGAATCACCAGCCCACAACCGAAACGGAATGTTAGTCTTATTTTGAGATGGGATTTTTCTCCCCAGTCTTTTGCAGAGAAGGAGCTTGAGATCTCAAGAAAGACTAAGAGGAAATTAAGAGGAAATTTTGTCTTAATCTGTGAACTTCCTTTTTCTTTGTCATTCACTCCAAACACATTAATATTATTTGGATCTGTGTGTCTGTGGCTTAATTTCTTGAGGTTGTTTGTTTAATTTAGAGACATTGTCAAGGTTAATAGGCATAAAGCAGACCTACTGACTGATTTACAGGCATTTTGTGTGTCTTGTTGTTCCTTTGCTTTGGCTGTCTGCCCTGTTCTTGAGAGTATTATGTGGAGTAAGTTCTCAGCAATAGTGAAAATTGTGCTTACTGCATGCAGGTTACAATCATAATCTATTTATCCATCTTGGGCCTCCTGCTGCTGTACATGGTGTACCTTACATTGGTAGAACCTATACTGAAGAGACGTCTCTTTGGACATTCACAGCTAATTCAAAGTGATGAAGACATTGGGGTAAGTTCACTTGAATGAATGCAATTGAACGCTTCCTTATGAAGGTTTTTCAATGGCAAAATAGCCCTCCTTTTCGAGGGACTGGTGGTAATCTTCACTGTTGCAGAAAGTTGTGTGGTCTCTCCAAGACCATTTCTTCACTTCCAATATGTCCACCCCATAAACAGGTGGATAGCAAGTTCAGGAGCTAGGGATTACCCTTTTCTCCCCCAAACCTAGATTATCGAGTAGTCCCCCTTTCTCAGAGCAGTCAAGGGAGGGAAAGAATAGGAAGTAAAATTTTCCTTACAGGGTTAAATGCTGCATTCCACCTGATAAGGGTTGCTATATTTTAGGTGGACTAGCGCAATGGTAAGGGGAAAATCTAAATAATAGATATATGAAGGGGTGTAGTCCTCCTTTGCTACTTCAACTTATGTTGGTTGACACTATTAAAAAAAAAAAAAAAAAAAAAAAAGTTCCAGCAGTGAAATATTGTCATGAGGGGACATTTTATTTCAGTTAAGTCTTATTCTTATAATTTAGTTTCCTGCACGTGATGAGAATAGGTTCCCTAAGATCCAGAACAAACTGTTTCAAGAGGTCTACTTGCACTATGGAAATGGACCATTGGTAAGCCGTATGATGGCCCATGTTTGGCCCAGTTTGTTTATTGTTAATGTAGACAAGACAAAATTGTCTTCAGCACCATAACGGGAAGGGTATTTAAGACCTGAAACATGGTGCTGAAAATAATGGGGGATTTTGTCCTTGCTACATTAGCAAATAAACAGTTGGTACCAGTTGAGTGGGGTAAGGGAGGACTATGTTACAGACAGCTATTGCTGGCGCGGGTCATTTTTTATGTTGTAGAGAGACTTACAGAATATCTATTAAAATAGAGAGATGATAATGCATTACAACTAATCAGCTTTACAAAGCTGATGGTCTGTTGTTTGCTATGTAGAGATGTCTGAACAAAGTAATATAGATATGCTAGTCTAGGGTGATGTTGCTGTGAAGCCATTATAGTCACCTGTTACCTTGACTGACTTATTACATTGATAGTGAAGCACTTCACAAAAGTATGAGCCAAACTCTCTCAGGGGAAGTTTGCTGAAGCAATTTGAAAAATCAAGAACTTATGTTTGCAGTCTAAGTATTAAGTATGTACGGTTCCTAATCCATGCTTACAAGTAACTGCTAAATATACAAAACAATTTATCAAGTCTAGAAAATACACTGGTGTATTTACCATATTGTATAACCAAGCAACATTAGCAGTAGAGTTAAAGCTCATTTTGAGCATAGTGTAACTTTAGTAGACCTTAAAGGAGGAAAAAAAACATAAACAGGTGGATTTCAGTTTGCTTTAACTAAGTTTGCCAGCAGCTGTGACCACTTAATGTCCAGTTTAGTAGGGTGGTGGTGTTTTTTTAAAATAAACTAGGGAACAGAATAAAGAGATTAAAAGTGCTTGTTATGCCTTAAGAATATTGTCATTATTGCTTCAAAGTAAATAGTAAGTTAACAATGCAGCAACACTAAAAGGTGTCGCACAATTTTGGAACTCATAGCAATTTTGTTTACAGTGAAACAAAATGATGATATCTTTATTTACAAAGTCTATTTAAAAACCCAATAGTATTGTGTGGCTGTCACTTTAATAGCTTTAAATCCAAACTTGGATAGTAGTCAAACCCTAATGGATCAGACTTGGTTTCCATTCATGCTCTGTATTTTTATTTGCATAGTGTGTTTAAAAAGTTGCTTCCATCATATTTAGTATGGTGACTTGAACACTTTTTAATATGGAAAGAATTATTGTCATCCTGTGTAAACCGAGAAGTAGATCACTTAGAATTCTGTCATCTTAGCCTACTACCAGTGGCCATCAGCCACCTTGATGAAAAGTAATCTTATTCTTAAAAGATGTAAACAATTATAAATATCTCCCTTCTGGAAATATAACTACAATATCCAACATTAAACACTTACATTCACCTGATACTTAATCATGAAAACAATCAAATACTTCACAAGTCATATTAAAATCTTTAAACTATTTTCTCTAAATCATAAGAGGATCAGCACCAGCCCTCTTACAGATTCCAAGACCAGAAGGGACCATTGTGATCATCTAGTTTGACATTCTGTGCACAAGAATGTCTTGCTGGGAGTTTGGGATGGTCATTATTTATGTGTGATGTAGCAGTGTAAATTTTAACTCAAGGCAGTAAAAACACGCTTCAGACCAACACATTTATACATCATCTGTCCCTGTATTTTCCCTTTCTTTTTGAAGCAACATTTAATATGAAAAAATCCTTTGCATGAGCCTTGTGGCATACCTAATTGTAGTATAAAACTGTCTGGTAACTTATGTCATGATTTATGAAAGAATGAAACTTTCACAACTGTGTATGTGGGGTTTGAAATATGCCTGACTACCTAGGTTAACTACTAAAGCTGTTTAGTATTTGTTTACTGCAGTTTGACTGTTATAATGTAATGCAGAGCTAGAATCTAAAGCCCTGATTCTGCATGGCCTTTTATGTGGTCAGACTCCATTTAAGTCAGCAGAGTTTTGGATGGACCAAGGAGTCCATCTATGCAGATGTCATGGCAAGTCTGGGGTAGAAAAGAATATTTTCTTTAAGGGGAGGGATTTTCAGAAGTGCTCAGCATAAATCTACCTCTGCTCCCATTAAAGTCAGTGGTAAGAGTTAAGGCACCACTGAGTGCCTTTGCAACTAGCACTCTGAAGCAGAATCATATTTCAGGAGTTTTATAAATGCAAAATTGGCCACAGGCAATAAGACGTTTTCTGCACCATAATTACTGTAGACAACACCTCTCTCACTAAGCTCTCATTAAGACCTGTAACCTGGGTGTCATCTTCAACTAGGTCCCAATCTAGATTTATGTCAGAATCTTGCTGCTTCTTCCTGATTAACATCTCTAAAATCTGGCTTAATTCTCCATCCACATAGCTAAAACCCTTGTCCAAGCTTTCATCTCCCGTCTTGACTACTGCAATGTCCTCTTCTTTGGCTTGACAAATGGTCCTGCTTATGTCCATTCAGAAAGCTGCAAAGATAATTTTCCTCGTTCCTGGCTTTGACCACGTTGCTCCTCTCTTTTCATCCCTCCACTGACTCCCCCTTCTCTGTCACATCAAACATAAACTACTTGGCTTACCTTTCAAGGCCCTTTGCAGCCTGTCCTCCACTATACCTATCATCTCACCTCTATCGAGTGTCTGCTCCTGCCTTCAGTCAGCCAGTCTTCATCTCCATCTTGCTAAACTTTCAAACAAGCACCTTTGTGCTTTCTCCCGTGCTGCCCCCCATTGATGGGAGGTGCTCCTGGGGAACGTCTACAAAGCCATCTCCACTATCGTCCTTTGAATTCCTCCATAAAACTCTCCTTTGCTATGTTTACACAAAACTTAAGTTAGCCAGCTGCTGTGCTGAGACCCTCTATCATATCTAACCAGTATTTTCTAATTTTCCTTGTGCTCCCCCATTGGCCCATCTGTATCCGCCTATTGTCTCTTGTCTAATACTTAAACTCTTTGGGGAAGGGAATGTCTTTTTGTTCTGTGTTTTGTACAGTGCCTAGCACAATGGCATCTTGGTCTATGAGGTGCTACCTCAATATAAATAATAATAATCCATTTAAGGGTGAGGTGTATTGCTGATCACTGAGTTGCTGTACTCAATATCATGTCACAAATAAAATAATCACTTCTGAAAACTTTTTTGCAATAAAACAAGGCAAGGTATAGAAATACACAAGCTTCAAAATTGAGTCTCCTTTGCTGTGTTAGCACAGTGCATAGTTTATAATGGTGTTTTTTCATCTGAAACGCATCATATACATGACCTTTTCCAATGTAGTTTTTAAAACATAATTTTCTTTGTCCAAAACATTTTGGGAGCCAAATAAAAGGTTCTGTTCCAAATGTCTTTGTTTATGACTTGGGATTTTTTTCCAGTAAATAAATCCAGCTTTGCAGATACTGTTAGAAAAGGGACAGCGTAAATGCTAAACAAACACTCAGTTGTTCAGCTCTTTGTCACTTAAACAGCTGTATTTACATGTAGCAGTGGGTTTGGTTTAGTGACAGTAAACATCAGTGTTTTGGTATTATAGGGCATCTTTGTGCGACTATTCAAAATTACTTTACGGTAACAGGTTAAAATCTGGTAGTGTGCTGGCTAAGCAAAGACGCGGGCTCCTCAGTTCAATTTTAAATTGAAGCACCAGCATGAAAACAAATGGGAGTGTCCAAGTGCCTTGGTCAACAATTTCGGGCTTCATGTTCAAACAGGTGCTAATGTATGTAAAGCTGTGTGCATGTTACTTTTGAGTATGTGGTGGTGGTGGTGCTCTTGCCTACAAAGTCAGCATGGGTCTGCTCCCATTGAATTCAGTGGCTAAATTCCCATTGACTTCACTGGTGTAGGATCAGATTCCATATGACCATTACTTATTACTTTGAGACACTGACCATATGAAAGGTACTGCAGAACATAACACTAAATTGTTTTATATAGGAAATCCACAGAAATTATTTTCTATAAAATGTTGAAATATACAGTCTATATCCAGTTAAAGCTTGTTTTGCACACACAGCTGCCTGGCAAGCTTGCGTAACTTATTTTATCCAGAAGAATATTGTAATTAACAGTAGTTTACGCAGTGAAATTGCTGAAATATAAATACTACTTTCTGCAATTGCAGGATCACCAACCTTTTGCAAATGCCCACGATGTGCTGGCTCGTTCCCGGAGTCGTGCCAATGTGTTGAACAAAGTGGAGTATGCCCAGCAACGTTGGAAGCTACAGGTCCAAAAGCAGCGCAAATCTGTCTTTGACCGTCATGTTGTGCTCAGTTAATTGATGTCTAATTCAATGATGACCAGAAGAAAGTAAAAGGGACTAAAGGAAAGAGCTGACTTATGTCTTCCTGATTCTACCACTTTTGAATGGTTTGTTACTGGCAGCAAAAAAGTGTTAACTTTGTAAGAATGTTCTGGAGTGGAAACTATCAAAAATAAACAACAAAGTTAATTAGCCAAAAGCTGATAATTCTTTACATTTTTTTAAATGCCATTTACTAATAAAACTAAAAAAAACAACTTACTCTAAGGTATCTTTGGATGTAACTGTGGTACCTTATTTATTATGACTAAGATGTTTTTAAATGTAACTTATACGGTTTAAAAAGTACCAGAGAGCATACTCTGTAACAAAAGATCAGTTACAACACACTAATCACTTTACTCAGTGAACCTTTGTAAATATATTCAGTTTTTCTCCTCACTGTTTAATGCTGTGTACTGGAAATCTAAATCTTGCAGTGTAGTTTTCCTATCTGACATTGGCCAGTTGTGCTCATCATTTGGTTTCTTGCACTGTTACTTTGAAGATGTTTGTATAGCAGCTGACCGTTGCAAACTTAAGGCAAAACTTAAATGGACAATGACTGTTGATGATAAGCTGCACACTTAAGGTACTGTGATGTAGATAAACTAATGCAGTGCACATTAAGACAGCGCTTTACTGTTTTGCTTTGATCACTTAGTATATTGTATGTGCTACCTACAGATCTCTTCCCTGTCTCTTCATGGATAAAGTCTCAGGAGTTAGTGTATGATAAAGTATATATTTAAAAAATAAACTCTGTATTTGTCTGGGTTGATGGTATAAGGCATATACTCTCCAGCATCTTCTGTCATCTTGGGAGTTAGGTGTATTTTTTAACTGTGATGCTGTACTCATCCCTCTGAGGTATACAGCTACTGGATAACTAACTTTCATATATCCTCTTTGGAATGGAACAATTAAAGATGATCATGATTTTTGAAAAACCTATTTGCAGTATCTGTATTTCATCATTTCTCTCCCTCATCACACTGCATGTAAATTTCATATTTAAAATAATTTTGCCAAATGTGCCTAAGATTACAAATGATGTGCATTGTTTGTAAATGTTCAATGCTTGGGTGACGGAAAGAATGGCTCAGAAAACTGCTAATATACAGAGTGCTTCTAACCTCTGATTCAAATCCAGGTCCAGGCAGTAGTGGCTGCAAGTTATCACCCATCTGAGGGTTCTGTGCTGTGTAAAATGAGCTAGCATCAGTCCAATTTCTAGTGAGAGTTCACATAAAATCACCAGTTATTACTGCCTGGCACTCTTCTTGGCATTTTAAACAGCAAGGTGGAGGACTAAATGGGTACAGAAACTTAAATTGGCTGTTGCAGCTAGAGCTAGTCCATCCATATTAGCATTTGAGACACTAGCAGGGCCATATAAGGACACTTCCACTGCCCTTACCCTTCACAGATAAATAGAGCACTGCAGTCTTCTGTTATTTCAGTACCTTTCACGAGGACTAACTTCACAAAAGCAGAAACTCTTCAATACTAGCAGAATCATAATGAGTATTAAAAAAAACCAACCTCCCCCCCCCCGCCCAAATCCCAGCAACATGTAGCCACTAACCAATGAAAGGTTAACACCAGTGGGCTGACAGTACAAGTAATCAAAGTTCAGAAACTACTGTTCCTCTCCCCCCCCCCCCCCCGACACACACACAGTATCCAAACTGGTGACAATGATGCACTTGACATCTATAGAGGAGAAACAGTTGCAGTTCCTTGTTGCAAGGGTGCCTATTGCCTACCACTTCAGATAGCAGCAGTGGCAGAAGCACCGCTCCTTGCTTGCTTGCTTGCCTGCCTGCCTTCTCTCACAAGACATCAGCAGGTGAAGTGAATTTTTAGGGAGATAAACAGAGGTCCCTACTGCGAAGGCGTGAGGATATTTTGAATCCCAAAGACTAATCTTTGTTCAGATGCAAAGACCGCTTCAAGCAGAATCGATTCTCTTAAGGCTTGAATGGGCCTTACCAGGAAAGAAGAGTGTGTATGCACTTGTCTCTGAGTAGTGGATTAGCTGTCACTAATTTTACTGTGTATTTCAAGTGTTCAAGATAAGACTGTGCAGTATTATGATCTATAGCAGGTCTGATTAGTAAATGAGTCCCAAATTTAAAAAAAGGCTAGCTTCCTAATACTAGACTAGAATTGAGGCTTTCAAAATGAGTTAATTTACACATACTGAATTGTAGTTAGAACTTGTCTATAATACTTGGTATAAGTTATATAAACTCATTTAGCACAATTAATAGGTAGTAGTTGCCCACTTAGAGTTGCACTTGCTGGTAAAGATGCTAAAATTCTGTGTTAGGGTTCCCTGGTTCTCGCCTCAGCTCTACCCTGACCCTAGGGTTCCCTGGTTCTCGCCTCAGCTCCACCCTGACCCTAGTCTAGGAACTGTTAGGGACAAATTAGGGATAGCCAGTGAGCGTGCAACACACACACACACCATCTGTATGGCTACTGGGAATCCTCCTGAGAGGATATCCAGGCAGTTTCTATTCCTCAAGTAATGGAAAGGAGTGGAGAAGGGTTGAGAATCTGGTCCAATGTTGAGATTTTTGGGATTAGCACACCAAAGCGGCAATTTAAAGATTACTCAAAGCAAGACCTATCTTGTGACACTACCATAAAATCAATCTAGTTGCAGATACCAACGTCATATAGCCTCTTGTTCAAATATATTGAGATTTCTGTATTTAACAATGAAAATCTAACTGAAGTGCTAACTAGTTTTTATTCTGTTAAATATTTGGGTGTAAAATTCAATTAAATGAAAAGGGCATTCATTATAGCAAATTGCTATAGCATATGGATCCAAGGGCTATAAATAAAATATGTTGCTGATTACTTTCTAAGATAGCTCAATTGTATCTAATACATTGAAACGTTCTATCCCATAATTCTAATATTTGTTGCCATTATAGCTACAGTGTGGGTGGAAAAAGCTAAACCAGAAAAGAGCAGATCTAAGTGTAAGCTACTTTGCATATTGTCAATTGACTATAAATTACACCAGTCTTTGACTCAACAAAACAGCATTGGAACTGCATAGTTCAGGTAAGAGATTGTCAAAGAAAGCAATATGTATTTGAAAATATATAGCATTATGGCTTGAATAAATATCAATCAAAACTGATGTAAATAACTTCAGTCAGCTATTTAATGAGTACTTCAAATAGTCTATTTGTAATGTGTATTTAGAATGACCCATTGTTTGATAAAATAAGTTACACTGGCAGGTAAGAATCAAAAATATTAACTTTAAAACTTTTAATTTTCAATGCAAAATTCTGATATTTTACAGACATTTTGAGCAGCCTGAAAATTCTGTTTCCTTGGATTACTTGAGAATTTTCTCTGTCTCAAAACAGGTGAGTCTCTATAGCAATGAAACAATTTTCATGCTCTTTGATTTTGTATTTGTCTTGGACGTTAGGATGGCAGATAGTGTTTTGTGTAATCCTGTTGTGCAGCAAAAGTGTTAGTGCCATCCAGCCAATGCTATGAATTTCTGATTTTTTTTATTTTTTTGCTATACAGTGCACATGTAGATTTTATCTTAGGGTAATATTTAACATTCATATGTCAGTAGAATATAATCAAAGAAAATAATTCATTTTCTTCTAATATTAACAAAAGGAACAATCACCATTTGCTATTTTGAATTTATCTATAATAGCTATATGTTCACCTCAGATTTTCCCTCATGTATAGCAAGTTAATTTGTCTTCTGTCACTGAACATGAATTTGTGTGTTCAGTGCATGTTTCTGCTAGAAGCTAGCCTATGAAAGCATCTGTTCTAGAACATATTTGATTTTCTCTTTTGGAGAGCTTTTGGCGAATATGGATTCTTAAGTCAGTGAAAGTTTTAGTAAAATCAAAACTGAATTAAAACAGTAGTTGTGATGGGATACCCAAATATTTTGATTGAACATGACTTTACACATGGGAATAATGTGCACTTGGGATCTGAAGATAGGCCCAAACTTTGGTCACACAATTCCCTCCCTTTTGAGTATGGAGGGTATGAAAGTATTAGAATATCTGCTAAAATAGCCCCAATTCATTGTGAAGGAGTTGACTCAATGGTGGCATTCCCTCTGTCAGGTAGCAGACATCCCTCTGTGTAAACACTGAACACCTAGTGCTTGGCAATTTTTTTTTAATGAGTGATGGAAGTAGGGCATTTCCAGTAATGCTTTTTAGTTCTCCTGCCTCTTTTCCCTTAGAGGGCATGATGGAACCTGACTACTTTAGATGGTGACACCTTGATGACGTGGGGGTGGAAGGTAGCAAAAGGAAATCAGGCTGGTCTCTATACAGGCAAGGATTGCATACAGTCACTGAAAACAAATAGTGGTCTTATGAATTTGCAGCTAATTTTTTTTAAAGGGTAGCTTTGTTAGAAAAACTACTGGAGGGCTGAGGTTAAACTACTCTTATAGTGCCTTGACAATCCGTAGAAGTACAATATAACTTCGTATTAGAGAGACGATTTTACTGTCTCTCTCAAACTTCCAAGTGTGATTTGAATGGTTAAATACAAATCCTGAACAATTAATTCTGTCATATCTGCTGTCAGGCAGATGTAGAGAGAGTATGTGGTCCTCTAATGGGCCATTGTGAATTGAAGGGAGTGCGGCTCTAAGCAATACTCCAAAGGGAAGTTCGTTCACTTACGGTAGAAACCCCTCTCCCGAATAAAACTAACAAATAAACATTTTTACAGCTGGAATGTAATCTGAATAACTTTCTTTAGCATTGTTTAATACTGGCTATTAAGATGATCCTCAAATAATCCCGTATCAATTGCGGCGGGGGGGGAGAGAGATGATGCCGACTCTGCAAAACAGGCCTGGGTACAGGAATCCATAAGGAATCCCCTTCAGAGGAGACATGTGGAACCAGTGTGTTACTTTACAGACATAAAAATAAGATTGAGGTCCCTGCACAAAGGAGTTTTCAATCTAATTGCAACATAATACAGTGAGTGAAAACATCAAACATGTAGGTGAAAAGACAAAATAAGGGGAGAGTTTAAAACTCTTGATGAATGTTTTGTTTGATTCAGTGAAGGTTACAGGCACTTGAGTGGTAATGTTTTTTTGGGGGAATAATGGGATGGAGAGGCTGTTTACTTTGCCAATGCGTGATGGGTGTATGGCAGTGCCTGTGTCTCTCTGAGTGGCAGAATGCTAACTGAAAGTGGTGAGGGTTGAAGAGGGAATTGAAGGAGATTGAGGTCACTAGAGGCACAGGAGGAAGGAACAAGAATTCAGCCAGTTTTATTTTATATAATGCCAGCTATAAGTGTATTTTGTCAATTTCAGACTGAGCTGGACATATGTTTGGAAATGAAGAGGATCTGGTGTTACAAATTCCAAGTAAATTAGCTTAATTGTGGTTTCCTTTAGGAGGCTGAAGGGATTACTTTATCTTTAGCCAGTGCTTAGTAAATTTCTATAGCATATGCTGGTGATTATGCACTTTCGTGTGTATGTGAAGGATGCTATTCAAATAGGACATCATTACACACCATGTGGCAACCTCCCACACCATTCGATAATATCATAAATGCATTAAAATCCCTCCTTCTGGAAAATTATTATTTATAATTTGTATTATTGTAGCACCCATGAGCCCTAGTCATGGACCAGGACCCCACTGTGTTAGGCGCTGTACAAACACAGAACAAAAAGACAATTCCTGCCCCAAATAGTTTACTGTCTATGCCAGTAATAGAACCTAACCCATTTAAGTAGTTGTAGTGTATGAATCATTCAATTAATATGCAAATATACATTTCCAGGTTAAACACAAAACTCAATGGATAGTAAAAGCTACTGTAACTTCATGGACAAGTTGTCCATCTACGACTCACAACATGTACAACTGACTAGGCCTTTCGGTGGGGACCCTTTTGTCACGTTTCATGTGTACCCTGAGACACCTACCCAGTTCACTTGCTCTGAGGATTTGCCACTACTTCCTTTTACATCTGAGGAGTTGATCACAGAGAACTTCTATACTGATCCTTGCAACTTTCCTTACCAAGTGGCCCAGGCGAATTATGGCAGAGGTGACTATTCTTATGGACCAGCTTTCATCAGAAAGAGGAATGAAAGGGAAAGGCAGAGGGTTAAGTGTGTCAACGAAGGATACGCCAAACTCCGACGTCACCTGCCTGAGGAATACTTAGAGAAACGGCTCAGCAAAGTAGAAACACTTCGAGCTGCAATAAAATACATTCGCCATCTACAATCTGTTCTGTACAGTGATTCTGCAGTGACAGAGAAGAATAACCTGGAACTGGGCCATACTTCCAAGGCAATTGCCAGAGAGATCCAGTTTTGAGGACTATCTGAACTGCTCCAGGGAAGAAAAATAATCACAGCTGAGGCTAACAACAATCACATTATTGGTGACACAAATATTTCTGTGAAACTGACACATTTTATGAACTGTACAAGGCACACATCTCTACCAGTCTACTGGGGAAAGAGTTTAAATTAACCTACAGGGGATTACACTGAGATGAGAAATACTAATCTACAGGAAAATTAAATGTAAACTCTTTTAGTTAATTCATGGAAATTAGAAAAAAATCCTTTAACTTTGTTAGTTGGAAATCGAAAGTATGACTATATATCATTTTTCAGAAAGGAGCAAATGTATACACCATCTCAGTCTGCACATTTTAAATAAAGTGTAACCTTCTCATGGATGGGGGGCTCAGCTTCTGTTAATTTTCAGGGATGTTTCATTTTCTGTTCATTTTCACACCTCCCCAAAGAATCTCTGCCCTAATTGCCGCTCTCTTCCTCAAAATACACAGGACAATTTTTTCCCCCAAGTTTCTTGTGTATTGGCCTAGTGGATATAGCCCACGACTGAGACTCCAGTTTTGCCACAGGCCCGCTGGGTGAACGTCAGCAAGTCAGTGCCCCCCTCTGTGCCTCAGTTTCCTCAATTGTAAAATGAGAATACTGACCTTTTAAAACACTCAGATCTACTCATGTAAAGTATTATAAAAGTGAAGTATTATTATTTTATTATTAAAAAGGGGTAAAAACACTTTCCAAAATATAGTTACCTGAATGTGGAAAAATGCAGCATTTTTGGAAATGCAGCTCTATCCTTTTGTTAACCAATTATTTTTCGTACTTGAAACCTGGAACTCTTATTTTGGTCGTAAACCCCTTTTTTCCTGGCCAAATTCCAGTCTGTGAGCCAGATTCCATCACCCATACTGTCAGTGAGCTTAGTTCATGAGTTATCTTGTTGAAAATCACTGAATATGGATTTACTTACTGACATAGTAAGATACTACTCCGAGGAGGGGTGGCAGAATCTGGCCCTGGGGAATGACATCCTGCAAGCCTATATGCCTCCGCACTTTCACTGGGATAATGTTTTCTTTACTTCTTGTCCTAAATTGTTGCTCTGCACTCTTAAATAACTGACAGTTTCACCCTACAGCTAGCTGCATTTCAGCAAAGTTTTCTAGTTAGGGCCTACTCACATGAGAGTGATGGGGAAGATTTAGCCCATGGTTTGCAAAGAACTTTGACATCCCTTGGGTTGAAAGGTGCTATATTATTTATAGTCCTATTTTATTGATATTCAATAAAAAGGCTCTCCACGTACCATAATGAGAGCAACTGCAACGTGAGTGCAGCAAAGTACGGAGGAAAAAGGCATTAGCATCTGATAATCTAAACCAGATGTGGCTTTGCCTTTAGGCCCAGCAGTCATGTGTACACTACTGGGTTTATGGAAGCAAAAAGCTATTTTTACCATGACACAGAAAAGGAACATTAGTCTACTAATCACTATTTGCATTACTATCCCTTTAAGCGTGGGGCAGGTCTCTAGTGTACACATGCACATGTATCTCTCTCCATTCTAGTTGAAGTCTTGAAATCTACACCATTGTTTTTGAAGGCTTAAAAGCTTTGTTGCTGCTACAGCCCATATTGGACCTGGTCATGACCAAGTTGTCTTTGCTCTTTTCTGAGTGAAAACAAAGCTTTAAGGCCAAGAGTTTCAAAAATAGGATCTTCAAGTTCAGCTCCTAAATCCACATTCAGGTTCCTGAGTAAGTGGCCTGATTTTCAAAACATTGGAGCACCAGCATGCCCCAGTGACTTCATGCCTGAGTTCCTCAGGAGGAGGAAGACAGCATGACTATTTTCCAAGCTTTTGGATAATAGGATTGTAAGGTCAGAGGTAATTCTGCTAGTCATCCAGTTGTTTTAAATAATTAAATAATTTCCTTAGGACAATCATCTGGTTCAAAGACTATGAAATACAACTCTGATGAAACAGATGGGAAATAGAATTTTTTTACATTCATAATTCATGCAGCAAACCCAGAGGTGCCAGGGCTATGAACTGCCAAGCCTAGAGGTGCCGGGGCTCAGCCCTGGCACAAATTAAGTACTGGATTTCATATGTGTAGTGGATAAATGTAAAAAACTCCAGCAGAGGAGCAATGAAATGCCCTTGCAACAATTCATTAAAGCTATGGAAGAGGAGACAGATCTAGAGGTCAGAGCAGGGATCAACAATCAGGAAGATTCCTAGATATTATTCCAGGTTAAGAAATCTCTCTCTACTCACCTGAAAATGGGAGAGGCAGTATCGTCCAGTATCGTTCCCTTGACTGGAACTCAGGAAATCAGGGTTATGTTCCAGGCTCTGCCATTGACCTTCTGAGTGACCTTCGGACTGGAAGCTTTGTGGGGCAGTGAATATCTCTGATACGTTTTTGTACACTGCCTAGCACAATGAGGCTGGGGTCTCTAGGTGCTACTGCAATACAAATAAAAATAAATCACTTCACCTATCTGTGTCTCCTCTGACCCCTTATCTGTCTAGTCTAGGCTGTGAGCTCTTAGGGGTAGGAACTCCCTCCCACTGTTTATATAGTGCCTAGCACAATGGGGCCCTGATCTTCTTTGGGGCTTTGAGGTGCTACTGTAATACACAGCATATTGTATTATTATCTACCGAGTAGATGGATGTGAGATTTAATGACTTCATGTTTGTAAAGTGATGTGACACCAGCTCAACCACTTCCCTTTTGCCCTAACTGCATAGCAGCACTTTTGTTACCTCATATGGGGGCTTTTTATTTTAATCCCGCAGGTTCATGTGATCCTGTCTTGGTCAATAAAATTGTGTTTGATCATTCAAGGGTGCAAAATAGACTGTATATGCACAATGCATTCCTACACTCTAACCCCACCACGGTAAATGATACTTTGATCGAATGGATTATGTCTGTCACATGTAAAATCGAATGGATAAGTGTTAGACAGATGATCGTCTATGGGAGTATCGTTCCTTTGGCTGTTAACTGAAACACTCATGTACGTGCATGCGTCGCTTTCTTCAACACAGTCACTTCCTGTTGGTAATGAATCTATGGCAACCAGCTTAGTAACTGGAAACACTAGCAACAAACGACTTTTCACACCAAACAGGCAAAAGGGCAGGATTTCTGAAGTCAGGCCAGGTGTGGGATGACAAGATTGGGCACTCTCAATATCTGGTAAGTTCAATATATTCAGTTTCCAGAACCACTGTATCGAAGTAATTGAAGCTGCTCAGTAAACATAATATAATTTTATACAAGTCACTTTTGTCTTTGCTCTCCTGTGCCCATGCTGTATCTGTTCTGTGGATAAGAAGGGACTTTGCTCTTCAGGGCTGTCTGGCCAATATCTTTCCCAAGCACTAAATTCACTGCAAAAAAAATTTTAAATGTTAAATTAAAAATAAAATTAATTTGAAAATCAACACAAAATCTACCTTTACATTAATTATTTCATTAATCTTTGTGTGTAAGAATCAGTATGCTTGTAAAGTAATCAATATCCTTGACATTATTTGCTCATTTGCAGACACAAGTTTTGCAGAGATTATTACAATAATTGTTGCAATCTGTGATCATGTTGCAATTTATGATCCTGTTGGGTGTTTATGTAAAACACTGGTTTGTTAAATAAGAATTTTCTGAAATCTGACCATATTTCTCAAAAGAGTAGCCAGATAATAGTCTTTTATTCCAGAGAAGACGAGAGTAAAATCCACAGGTAACATTTTTCAAATGCAGCTAAATACCATAGGAGCCTAAATTCCATTTGCAAATGTAGTTTAGGAGCATAGCCCCATAGACTTTCAGTTTGAAAAATTGACCCCATGTATAAATATTTTAAAGAAATATAAAAAATCTAGTTAGAATAGAAGTGTCCTGCTAAATCTTGCCCAGGTGACAAGGTAGCTATTGCATTGTAAATCTTAATATGACAGCCACAGAATAGTTATCTTTCTCTTCACTTGTCAAATGTGAGCATGATTTCCTTCTTTTCCTAAAAGCATAACCTGTCATCATAAAACATGACAGAACAGCTGCAAGATGAAATTATTTCCCCTTAAATACATCACTATAACACGAGTAACAGGCAACATTAATCTAGTGCTACATTCAAAAGCTGTCTTCGAGCTCATTCGGCTATATCAGCTCCAGCTGTGATTTTTGTCATAGCTCATAAAATATGTAGGATTGGGATGGGACAGGATGCAGATAGGAAACATTTTAGGACGAATGAAGGTGCCGCAGGTGATGCTGGTGATTCCCTAGGTGGCATAACCATGAGACTCTCAGTGGCGTTCGAGGGCACTGTCCTATGAAGGACTTGATTTAAAACAGAAAATTCCCGAAGACTTTTCTAGTTTATTTAATGTTGCTAAGGTGCCGATCATCTTATGTAAAAGTCTGATTCAAAGTCTGTTGAAGTGAATGGAAAGGCTCTTATTGACATCAGTGGATTTTGGATAGTATAGGGGTGTTAACCACACTGACTTCTGGCCAAATTCAGGTCTGGTGAATTACATTCCACCCACCTAAATCCCCCCCTGTAATTTCAACTGAATACCTTAATCTTCAGTTCCTGTTGCTCTGCACTGCTAAACAGTTGTTATATTTCACACCAGAAGTGGCTGCATTTCAGTGGTAGGCAAAGTTTTGATTCATTTTCTTATGTAAAACTCCATTAATAAATGTTTTAAAGTCCTTTGGGATCCACTAGAAAATGCAAGTTGTCATTATCATCATTTAACTTGTATATTTCCGTAAAACCTGGTATGCTGTGTTTGTTCATCTCAAACACCAAATTATCACAATTCCATTTTGCAGGTAACTGCTTAGGAGGGAATGGAGAATCCAGGAAGCTCCTTGTTTACAGAGCACAAGTACTGCAGAGCAATGACAGCACTAGATAAACTCTCATGCAGCAACTTCCTAACTAATATCGATCCCTTCTCTAGTGGCTCTTTCATAGTGCAGCCTGCTTGGGTTACCAGACCTCTCATCCCCCAAAGGTAACAAAAAGTTCTTGCTTTTGTCTGTCATTTGCTTTGCAACACTGTTGACGATTGAAAACAAGCTGTGAAGTAAGCCCACTAACTAAAGAAATGCTCTGTGAGATAGGTCTATTGGTGCCAACTGTTCTTTACAAACAACTCCTTTCTCAAATCTGACAAACTCACTACACTTAATACATCCCTTTCATGGTATTTTCCCATGAAAGGTAGCATGTAAGGTCTCTACTGAAAGCTTGTAACTTATCAATACTCATAATCATCGTTAGATGTGTGTACAGGTAATATTTAAGGAATAATTTAACAATATTGAAAACTGTCGTATGGTCTTAAAGTTAGTCACCAGGGAATTGTATAACTGGGTAATAGTCCACTCAAGAGGGAAGGAGTTGTCATCCTTCCCTGGTAGGCTGGTGATGTAATACAAGGTTCAATTGTCTAACCATGCCCTATCCTAGAACAGTCATTGGAAAACCATCAAAGCCAACTGCAAACAATCAAAACCACTTGGAGGTAAAAAGAACCATTACAACAGACAGGGGATTGCCCTGTCTGTGAATAAAGACGAAAGACTGATTCAGTATAACACAGGATGGAAAAAGACTCCTTGTATCCATTCATTGAGGAGACATGTTGTTGAATGGGGGGCAGGTTTAATGAAAAATTGGATCCTGGTTCCTGTGATGCCAGCCAGAGACTGAACTGTGGGGGAGGGAGGGAACCTACTTTATTAGCTAGGAAAAGTAACTATTAATAAAGTGTAGGCCCTAGTTTGCATTTTATGATTTGTTTTGTATTGTATCTAGATGTTTCCATTACTGTCTCTTGTTTCTAGTGGAGTCTCCTTTTGTTTTATCATAAGTGCAGTACATTATACAGAAGTGGTGATTTAGGGTAAAAGTGGTAAACTGGAGCACACTGCTCCTTTGAGGGCAAAGGAGCTGGGATTTCTGAGAGTAGCCAGTACAGGGTCTGGATATCACAGGGGAATGCTTCAAGGGGACTCGGGACACCTCTTGTTAACCTGGGGCAATTAGAGGCTAGTTTCACTTCCAGCATAAGTTAGAGCAACTACTGCTGTAGGTTATACCAAACAGGATCACAGTGTGATCCTACCAAAACCACCAAACACCCTCCCCCACAGTGGTGTGAGGCTGAGAAGAGCTGCTGGAGTCAGTTATGCTGGAGTTATGCAAGCAAGGGATTCTCCTACACAGGTAAATCCTCAGCCAGCTCCTTCTGCCTGCTTTGCACCATAGGGGTGGAACAAAACAGGTCCACTAGGGCCCTGGATCTGGCCCTTGAAGGTTAATAGAGTGTCTTAATTTGACTCATGGAAGCTGTTTGCTCTCACCACTAACCCTTTTCTTTTTATTCAAGGTGCTCATGGATCAGCCACTGTCCCCATTTCCCTGACACAGCATATAAGCATATGAAGGTGTGGGAAAAATCAGTGAACATTGCTCATGTTCCTGTTCTAGCAAGAAGGGAATCTGATGGGTTTTATTATCTTGGTACAATAAAACAGGAGATAGAGGCAAGTAATCATTGGCTCACCTATCTTGTGTAGATATTCTTAATTTACTGTGTGCCTCCATTATAGTGAGATCTGTTCATTGTAGAAAGTCACCTGGATATCACAGTGGACTCTCCCAAAAGAGATTCACAAAGGGTCAAATTCATGGATTGCAGAATGCCCCCCAGTAGCACCTCTCTGCCACTTGAACCCCTGCTGTGGGTGGAACTGGGTTGAGGGGGCTGGGAGTGCAAAGGCAGATCAGCTGTGCAGTGGGGTCTGTGCATCATACAGGGTTTCTGTCCGTTCTGATATAGGCTGTTGCATGAAGTCAGGAGGCAAGTCACAAACAGAGCATCTGCATTTGTGATTATACCGTTCCAGTGGATTAAAGACCATGTAGAGGGGCAGTAGTGTCCAGTGGTCCTGCCCATCCTACTGTACCTATTGATTAATGGCATACTGTATGAGTCTGCTCGGGATAACAAAGGTATGGGCTGAGATGACACCTGTATGCAGACTCTATAGCTCACATTCAGCAGCCTCTATGCCTCCTTTGCTGTGCCTTCTCTTCCTGATGTCAGACTTTCTGGCAGCTATTCTAGTCTGCATGAGGGATTGTTGGCTTGTGGAAAGTCGGGGCATGCCCCTTATTCAGAAAACAAGGCAGCTGCTTGTGAGATAAGGGCTACCAGCTTGATCTCTTTAGGGAAGCGCCTGTTGTAACACTTTGCCTTCCCATTCTTCCACCAGCGCTTATGTTTTTTTGGAACTTCGTTGGCCCCAGTTGGACCCATCCTGCAAGGTTGCAAGGAGCCTTGGCTCCTGCTGCGAGTCAGGGCTCTCAGCACCTTGCAGGGACAGGCTCTTTGTTTCTGAGCCGGTCATGCTGGGCACTGAGCCACGTTTAGATGAATTTTGTGGTGTTATGGCCAGCGCCCCACCTACGGTTGTGAATAGACAGATAAACATCGATACTGCTGGAAAACTGTTAGCCATAAGTGTATACATAACACACTATATTCCTCTGCAAACCAAGGCACAGCATGTCTTTTCAGAGACACTAGTGAATGCTTTAATTCATTAAGTTGTTAGTACTTAAAACTTTAAAGAAAAAAGGGCCTATTCTTTTTGAAGAGCAGGGGAGTGGCTTGCTTCACTTGCTGATGCAAAGCTCCTTAACTGTTTTCTAAAAGATAAAATGCCTGGTTACCCAGTATGTAATAGGAAAGGATTCATGAGTGAATAGAGAACAGCTCTGAACTGCCTTCAGATACTTTGTCACCATCTATAAAACAACAAGGAGTCTGGTGGCACCTTAAAGACTAACAGATTTATTTGGGCATACGCTTTCGTGGGTGAAAACCTCATTTCTTCAGATGCTACCATCTATGTACAGGGTAGCTTGTGAAATCGGCAGCATCACATGAATTACAGCTGGGCACATAATCTCAGGCCTGTAGTGTCTTTTGCAGTGGAGAAAATACAGGTCTTAGTTGAAGTGGATATAGGGGGGGTATTTTACCGAGGCTGCCGAACACAAACATCCCCCTGTAGTTTTTTACAGTTCTCTAGATGAGAGACTAAGGGTATGTCTACACTACGAGAGTAGTTCGATTTTACTTAAATCGAATATGTGGAATCAATATTACAAAATCGAACGTGTGTGTCCACACTAAGGACAGTAATTCGACTTTGTGAGTCCACACTAACGGGGCAAGCGTCGACATTGGAAGCGGTGCACTGTGGGCAGCTATCCCACTGTTCCCGCAGTCCCTGCTGCCCATTGGAATTCTGGGTCGAGCCGCCAATGCCTTCTGGGTAAAAAAATGTGTCGAGGGTGCTTTTGGGTAACTGTCGTCATCCGTCCGTCACTACCGCCCTCCCTCCCTGAAAGCGCCGGTGGGAAATCAGTTCGCGCACTTTTCTGGTCAGTGACAGCGCGGACGCCACAGCACTGTGAGCATGGAGCCCGCTGCGACCATCGCTGCAGTTATGGCCGTTGTCAACACCTCGCAGCTTATCATCCACCTTTCCCAGAGGGAGATGCAGAGAAATCAGGCGAGGAGGCTACGGCAGCGCGGTGAGGGCCTGAAGTCTGAGAGTGGCACAGACCTGTCAGAAAGCACGGGACCCCGCGCCGAGGACATCACGGTGGCAATGGGTCATGTTGATGTTGTGGAACGGCGATTCTGGGCCCGGGAAACAAGCACGGACTGGTGGGACCGCATAGTGCTGCAGGTCTGGGATGAATCCCAGTGGCTGCGAAACTTTCGCATGCGGAAGGGGACTTTCCTCGAACTTTGTGAGTTGCTGTCCCCTGCCCTGAAGCGCAATGACACCCGGATGCGAGCAGCCCTGACTGTCCAGAAGCGAGTAGCCATAGCCCTCTGGAAGCTTGCAATGCCAGACAGTTACCGGTCAGTCGTGAACCACTTTGGCGTGGGCAAATCTACCGTGGGGGTTGTTGTCATGCAAGTAGCCAACGCAATCGTTGAGGTACTGCTCTCAAAGGTAGTGACCCTGGGAAACGCGCAGGTCATCATAGATGGCTTCGCCGCGATGGGATTCCCAAACTGCGGTGGGGCTATAGATGGAACTCACATCCCTATCCTGGGACCGGACCACCAGGCCAGCCAGTACATTAACAGAAAGGGCTACTTTTCAATGGTGCTGCAAGCACTGGTGGACCATAGGGGACGTTTTACGAACATCAATGTCGGATGGCCGGGCAAGGTTCATGACGCTCGTGTTTTCAGGAACTCAGGTCTGTTTAGACGGCTGCAGTAAGGTATTTACTTCCCTGACCAGAAAGTAACTCTTGGGGATGTGGAGATGCCTATAGTCATCCTCGGGGACCCAGCCTACCCGCTAATGCCCTGGCTCATGAAGCCCTATACTGGCGCCCTGGACACTTAAAAAGAACTCTTCAACTACCGGCTGAGCAAGTGCAGAATGGTGGTGGAGTGTGCTTTTGGCCGTCTCAAGGGGAGATGGAGAAGCTTACTGACTCGCTGTGATCTCAGCGAAACCAATATCCCCATTGTTATTGCAGTTTGCTGTGTGCTCCACAATCTCTGTGAGAGCAAGGGGGAGACCTTTATGGTGGGGTGGGAGGTTGAGGCAAATAGCCTGGCTGCTGATTACGCCCAGCCAGACAGCCGGGCGATTAGAAGAGCCCAGCGGGATGCGCTGTGCATCCGGGAGGCTTTGAAAGCTAGGTTCCTGAGTGAGCAGGGTAACCTGTGACTTTTAAGTTTGTGTACAGAGAAGCTGAACCTGCCCCCGTTTCTTTACCCACTAAATGTTCAGTATCCTCTCCAGTTACATACCCCGTTCCCCCCCTTCCAACACACTTTTAAAAATAAAATCACTTGAATTTTGTTAATGAACACCGTTTTCTTTATTACTGTTTTCGCGGGAAAGTTTTAAACCTGGGACGCAGACTGTGGTGGGGAGCGGGTGTAGTGTAGTGATGCAAATGACGCTTCTAAACTCCAGGAATGACAGGCTCTGCAGTGGTGGACTGGTTGTTTCAACGGAGCCTGCCACCCCTCTTGATCGGGACTCTGTGTGTGTGGGGGCTATGTGACTTTGTGGCAGGGGGAGGACGGTTACAGATCCCCTGCTGCGTGGCTCTGTGATCCAGGATAAGGACCGCGGCATAAGATCTCTAACTGCCCTCCCCCGCCACAAAGTCACAGAGCAACCACCCCCCCACACAACATGAAAACCACCTCCCAGACTGACCAGGGTAACTAGTGACTGCACTGTGTGTGTGCCCTGCTGCTGAACCTGCCCCCGCCTCTGTACCCTGCTAAAGGTGACTGTCCTGTCCAATTACCAACCCCCTTCCCCCCCTTCAGACAGACTCTCCTCTAAAAGAACATGATGGAAACCGTAATTAACAGAAAAGTATTTTTTATTAGCAACTACACATGAAACTGGGGGGTGAAACTTGGACGGGGGCTTGGGTGAGGCGGGAAGGAAAGGACTTGTCAAATTTTGGGGAATGAGAGCCTTCTAGTACTAGAGCAGTCTGCAGGGGTGGAGTGAGAGTTTTCACGGACTCTGCCGCCCCTCCTTCTTGGGACTTTGGGTGAGGGGGGTATGGGACTTGGTGGCGGGGGAGGGCGGTTACAGATAGACTGCAGCGGGGCTCTGTCCTCCTGCCTCCGGTCCTGCAGAACATCCACAAGGCGCCGGAGCATGTCCATTTGCTCCCTCATTAGTCCAAGCAGCGTTTGAGTCGCCTGCTGGTCTTCCTGCCGCCACCTCTCCTCCCGTTCCATGTGTGATCGGTGCATTTGGGACAAGTTATCCCTCCACTGGGTCTGCTGGGCTGCCTGGGCTCGGGAGCAGCCCATAAGTTCCGAGAACGTGTCCTCCCGTGTCCTCTTCTTCCTACGCCTAATCTGCGCTAGCCTCTGGGAGTGTGATGCCAGGCTAGGTTGGGAGACAGTCGCAGCTGTGGGAATGGGAAAAAGGGAGTGAATTCCTCAGAAAGATAAATTTAGTTGTGAACAAAGAACATAGTCTTTCTCTGTGAACAAGACCATGCACAGCACCTATCACATGCACACTCAGGACAAGGTCGAATTTTCGGCCTTCGCATTCAGTGCCTGGGGTCTTGCAGTGCAGATCAGAGAAGCGGGGCAGTACACCGGAATTTGTGTAGCAGGCTGACATGGTAAGCCGTAGACTTGTGGCTACTATTAAAACTTTAATAATAGCACTGGCCTCCTTTCACATTGAAAGCAATGCCAGTCCCTGCTGCCAGCAATCCGGCAAGCATGAACTCTGCCCCTGTCCCACCCCCTCGCGGCTGTCCCAGGGAAAGATCCCTGTATGCTGCCCCTCTCCCGCCTCCACCGCGTGGCTGTAAACCGCCGGTTACAGTTCTGTAAAGGAACGGGCAAGCAGTCCCAATACTAAAATTCCCCTACCTAATTCAAAGCAGGTCACCATGAGCGACATCACTCTGATGAGGATTTCAGAGACGGAAAAAGAAAGGATGCTTCGGGAAAGCCTGCAAAGACCAGGGCCGTATGCCGCCATGCTCTGCAGGGCAATGATCCCGGAGTACTTGCTTGTCTCCTGGCGCGGAAATGTTTGCTACTACGGAGGACCCAATAAGGCCGCTCTCCCCAGGAACCTGATGCAAAGGCTTTCCAATTACCTGCAGGAGAGCTTCGTGGAGATGTCCATGGAGGATTTCAGCTCTATCCCCGGACATATAGACCGGATTTTACTGTAGCTGCACTGGCAGGGACTAAACAGTAGAGCGGCTTGGGCAGAACAATCATGCTAAACCGGACATTGTTAGATTTTTTTCAGTAGTTGCACTGCCAGGGACTGAAAAGTTAAGGGCAAAGTAATCATGCAAAACCCATTGTTAATCTTGTTAATATTCCTGTTCTGTTAAAAATAAATGTTTACATGTTTAAAACACTTACTGGCTGATCCTTCCCCTGATTCTGTGTCCGGGTTAACGGCTGGGGACGGTTGGTAGGGGATCTCTGTAAGGGTGATGAAGAGATCCTGGCTGTCGGGGAAATCAGCGTTGTAAGCGCTGTCGACTGCCTCGTCCTCCTCATCTCCTTCCTCATCTTCCCCGTCCGCTAACATGTCCGAGGAAGCAGCTGTCGACAATATCCCATCCTCAGAGTCCACGGTCAGTGGTGGGGTAGTGGTGGTGGCCGCACCTAGGATGGAATGCAGTGCCTCGTAGAAACGGGATGTCTGGGGCTGGGATCCGGAGCGTCCGTTTGCCTCTTTGGTCTTCTGGTAGCCTTGTCTCAGCTCCTTGATTTTCACGCGGCACTGCATTGCATCCCGGCTGTATCCTCTCTCTGCCGTGGCTTTAGAGATCTTCTCGTAGATCTTTGCATTCCATCTTTTCGATCGCAGCTCGGAAAGCACGGACTCATCGCCCCACACAGCGATCAGATCCAAGACTTCCCAATCAGTCCATGCTGGGGCCCTCTTTCTATTCTGAGATTGCACGGCCATCTCTGCTGGATAGCTCTGCATCGTTGCCAGTGCTGCTGAGCTCACCACGATGTCCAAACAGGAAATGAGATTCAAACTGCCCAGACAGGAAAAGGAATTCAAATTTTCCCGGGGCTTTTCCTGTGTGGCTGGTCAGAGCATCCGAGCTCGGACTGCTGTCCAGAGCGTCAACAGAGTGGTGCACTGTGGGATAGCTCCCGGAGCTATTAGCGTCGATTTCCATCCACACCTAGCCTAATTCGACATGGTCATGTTGAATTTAGCGCTACTCCCCTCGTTGGGGAGGAGTACAGAAGTCGAATTTAAGAGACCTCTATGTCGAACTAAATAGCTTCGTGGTGTGGACGGGTGCAGAGTTAATTCGATGTAACGGCGCTAAATTCGACAAACTCCTAGTGTAGACCAGGCCTAACACAGCATGTGCTGCTTACTGTCACCATTCCTGCTGTCCTAGAGTTCAGGCCTAGTCTAAGCTGCCATGGAAGGGACTGCTGACTGCAGTACAAGGCCTTATATTATGTATTACATGGTGGGCTTCCTCATAATTATGTTTTGTTCCTGGTAACAGGGCGAGAGAGGAACTTTCCTGGTAGAGTTCGACAAACCACCTGCATCAGGTGACAAGTACTCGGTATGTGTGCAAAAAACATCCAGGGATGACATCCTTGAATATGTCAATGGAATGAGGCACTCCATACTCCCTGGAGACAAAGTGCTGGCACCCTGGGAACCAGACCTGGTCAGATATGGCCCTGGAACCATCCTACTGGGCATTGAAACACGGGATCCCCTGAGAGGTAAGAAGGGATCCCCTGAAGTGGTAAGAATGAACACTATTTTTGGTATTGCTACTGTAGCAGAAGCATCAGTGCAACTTGCAATGTTTATTTTAAAAATGTATACAGGTTGCAAGGGATGTAGTGGGAACTAGTAACGGATTCCTAGAAAGTGCTCCTTAGCAATACCTTGAGCATGAGAGTTAACTTCTAGATTGATCTACCTTTTATTAAGAAAACTAACTTTTTAAATTTGCACCTTCGCTATCCACTATGTCTAGTCTTTTAACACTTATTCAATTTAACTTCCTACTGAAACAAGGGCACCAGCTGTGGGGGAAAGGATAACATGTTCAATTCCTGAGACTTGATGCACAGGGAAGCCCTGTTTTCAAATGGGGTAGTTTTAAGAATATGGCTTATATTAGAATGCTCAGATCAGCACTGGGTTATTTATGCAGTGTATTAAATTGCTAAGACAAGTCAAGATGCTAGTATTTCCCAACCAGAGTGGTACTGTCTAATGGTATCTTACCTTTTTCTTTTCAATAGCTTCAGAGGATGAAGAAATCATGGTCTATTTTTGGAATGACAAGAAAGTGAAAGTACCACTAGGTGTGGCCTTATGGATTCCACCAGACACGTGGGAAAGGATAGTAGAGATGATTCACATGCCCTTCACCAGCAGATTAAAGTTTATGAACTCCCCCACCACCACTAGCTCTTACACTTCTACTTGCAGATGTCTAAGAGCCCCCATCCATTCATGTGCTTTAGATGATGGGCTGAGTAAGTACAGGTGGCCATGGCCATGCCCATTAATCTGCCCCCCTTTCCATGGTCACTGTCACAGTATATGCTGTTCACCAGTCCATGTGGGATGCATGTGCTGCTCCCATCCCAAATTCAATGCCTGGTGGCCTCTACTATCCACATCTTTGCTCCCTCAAAGAAGCACTAAACAGCAAGAGTCCAATAACAAGCCTACTGCACAACTTCTAGAATTGGAAAGTCCAAAGGAAAATGAACCAGCAGCAGCTACTGCTTCTGCTTCTTCCTCCTCCTCGTCCTCTGATTTAGAAAGTGAGGAGGAGACGTGCCTAACGAAGAGCACGGTGGTGGATAGTGCTGTTAATACAGATTCCAGCCTTTTCAAAAAACCCAAACTGAAAGATGCTGCAAGACCTGAGTGGAAGTATTGGAAGAGAAGCCACGCCAAGTCACATCCTAGGAATCCAGGTATAGTTCATCTCTTTCCTTGGTTACTTGTCAACAGGTGCTTCTTCACTGAAAGCATTCTATGAGCCTCTTCAGTCTGGCACTGTATCTCATTGAGTGTCAGACTTGAATGCAGGCCTATATCTCTGCTAGCAGTGACACAGATGTACTTGTAAATGTCTAACTTACCTTATTTCAACATTGCATCTGAAGAAGTGAGGTTCTTACCCACGAAAGCTTATGCTCCCAAAGGTGCCACAGGACCCTCTGTTGCTTATTTCAACATTGGTAGACAAACTGTGTGTATGATGCATAGAAAGCAGAAAACACATCTGACAATCAATATGCCATTAATCCTTTAACTACTACCTAGAATTTAAAATAGATTAAATACATTCATAAATCTGAAATTCATAAAAATGTTATTTTGTAACCCCACTCCCCTTTTTAAAAAGCAAAGCAAAACTTTGTATTGGGGCCTAAACCAGGCATCAGTTAAAAATCCCTCTAATTAATTTCTATAAATGCAAGATCTGCACCAAGTTTTGCCCTCTTCATCACATGTAAGGGTTCCTGTTTCCATACTTTATCCAGTGGAAAACCATGCAAAAATGGAATCATTCAGGAACACACGCACACAACTCTAAATTCCTGATCTTCCCCCCAATCCTGCCACATTTTTCATGGTGCCATCCACACAATTGACTTTTACTTTAGGAACAGATATCCAGAACCAGAAATCATGCACCTACAAGAGTTCCTTTTAGGTTAAATTGCACTTTCCTTTCCAAATGACTACCATTTTTAATCTTTAATGTAAATGTAAGATTATGCACATTAAATATAGTATCTATATCCCCAGGAATCAGCATTCCCAGCAGCAAGTGTACAAAGGGGAAAGCAGAATCCAGAACCATTTTCTCCTTGGACATGTACCCTGTTGCACCAACCAACCAGAGTGCAATGTTTGAAACTATTGAACAGTCTCCGAGAAGACATCTCACACTGAAAGATGTCTTAATCCACCATGATTTCAAGCCATCACTGGGGGTAAGTAATCTATGGTGAAACAGTATTATAATTAGGTACCTTGGTTCTTTAAATTGAAGATGATGTTCTGGATATCAGCTGAAGAAGCAAATGGCCCTGAAGTTACCCTGTTGCCTGCTAAACATCTCCCCCCCCTCCCAAGCCCCATATCTGTGTTGGGGAGAGAGCTCCTCTTCCAATTCAAGATACAGCTGGGCAGGATCTGAAGCCATCTTACACAGTTCAAAAAACTAAAACTTGGCATGTAACTAGATGGTGATTCAATTGAGCTTGTAACCTTGGAGACTGATCCAATGCCCACCGAAGTCATGGGAGCTGGATTAGGGCCTTAGGAAGGTAAGTAACTCCTATAGGATGCTTGATCCTGGGAATGGATGGCTCTGAAATTCAGGAGTAATAGAATCCAAGCAAGGAGCTCTCCTCCCTTCTACTTCTCCCAATGCAGCTCTGCACCAGCCTCACTCTATTTTTTATACTGCCCCAAAGCCTGATGCTTGTGGGTATTTTTCTAGAAATCAGTCCTGTAGATCAGATTCTGAAAGAATCTCTCCTCCCCCACCTCAAAATAGCAGACAATTTAGAGAGAATACTGCTCTAAAGTTCAGCTAGAGGATACAAAATGCATAAACTGAGTCAGAGGAAAGAGGACTAAAGTCCTAGTTTTCATGCTTCATTTTTCCCCAGCCACAGGCCACTCCTTTTTTAGAGAAACTTGGAGAAAATCAAATAGAACGTGAACGCCAGAGAAAATCCTGCATGGAACAAAAAAGGAAGAAAAAAATCCAACGACAGAAGTGGGAGTGTGAAAGAGAACAGCAGGCTGAAGAGAAGTACTACACTGCACAGGAACACCGGAGGTACATCACACAGGTCAAGTATTAGCTACTCTGCATCTTCCCTCTTTTGGTTCTATGGACTTTGACTACAGAGTAAAGCATTGTGCACACTAAACTTAGATGATTTCTGTTTTCAAAGGACAAAGCTCTTTCTACTGGTATGTATTCCTTAGAACTGAAACATCTTGGAATGTCTGTTCTACACACACTAGTGTTTTAATTCCAGTGAAGAACTCCTAATAGAAAACATGCACAGTAATTTCAGCTATCTGAGCAGAATGAGTGTCTAGTTTAAATTAGCAATATATGTCCACATTGTGCTCTGTTGTAACTGATTTATACCTTTTTTAGGAAACCGCTGTTCGTAAACTTCTTTGAAACAAGTACAAAACTTCAGACATACAGTACATTAATGGTTAGGTCATGTCAGACACTTGTTTCTACCAATTTTGAAATAAGTGACTAAGAAGTCATATCCCGCTGGACAGGGCTTGAACACAAGCCCCCGTGTCACACATAATTTTTACTGAAGTCAATAGCTTTGCATGTGGGAGGACTGCAGAGTTAGGCCCTGTATGTTTGTAAAGACTATAAAGAAACTAAATGAAGAGACTGAGTTGCATCTGTGGCAGGCCATCCTGTTCCCTGTAGTACTGGTGGCAGTAACAGAAGGGACATTCCTTCTCCGATTGATTAAAGATTTAAAGGATTGACTCGATAGGACATTCCCCAAAAGACACAGGCCCAATTTAATGTCCAACTAATGTTGTGAGACCAAGTTACAATGTGACTGTCCCTAAACACAGTTAAAGCACAGTTCTATCTTGTACTCTAGATGGAGCCTTAAACTACTTGACCATATCCTTTATAAACATACAACTGTAAGAGCCAACTAAAACTTCAGGGTGGGTTTTCAGAAATGCTCAGCTTTGGCCTAACTTTGCTCCCACGGACATGAATAGTGAAAGTCCCACTGAGTGCTTCTGAAACTCTATCCTAAGGTTTATTATTTTAAAACATTTATATTCCATTGAAGAGTTTATACACATGTAAAACTGCTTCCACTGGGAAAGCTACACTAGGTAAGTCTATTTATTTTGAGGATAGGAGAAGAGCAGACAAAAACACTGATTCTTTTCAGAACAATGCTTAACTCACTGGGTTTTTCTTCTCCAGGAACAAGAAGCTGCAGCATTTCGAGAATGAAGATAAGAAGGTAAAAGAACAAGACAGAAAGCAGAATCAGACAATGAAAACAAAGCAACTTACACAGCAGAGGACAAACCTGAAGATGCAGACTATGGCAGAGGAGGACAGGCAGAAAGGACAGCAGAGACTAGCTCATCTGCAGCAAGTCAGAGAGACACATGATCAGAGGGAATTTAATAAGTGTATAGCTGAAGAAATTAAAGAGAAACAATCTCAGGTAAACTACCCATCTATATAGGGTTATTTTTATACAGGGAATAAAGTGTGCTCTAATGACCTTCGCCTCTCCTTTAAACAAACAAAATCTGTAGGTAGCCAGAATAGCTTTATGGATAGTAGCACCACCTTAACCAATTGAAATAAATGCCATTTAGATGGAAATGAGGCAAGTACCTTCACTCTCCTGTCCAGGGGAAGTGTGTCTTTCCATATTAAGTTCCCACTGTGCTGGACTAGAAGCCAACACTCTTGGGGAGAGAGGAACAACAAGTAATAGTACAGAAAACCTGAAAAATTGGAAACAGAGAGCTTTAATAAGCCTCTTGTTTGTTCTCATGGTTTCAAAAAGTCTGTGGCAGGGATTTCAGCATGATGGTTTCTCTCTTGTAGGAAGCCCGAAGGAGAAGAGTGGAGACCCAGTACAAGTTAATGGCAGAAAAGATCTTTCAAGATGAAAAACAGAAGGGAAAGTAACCAGACAGCACAGAACAAAGGAGATACAAACAACAAATATTTATGTAGAATCCCAACCCGTTATGGCTACCATACTTAAAGCTTCCCCCAAATAAAGTCTATTGGAACCTTATTAGAATAAGCCAAGTAAAAGTTTGCATATGCATACTAAAACACGACACCCATTTTATTCATAGGTGCCCATTCAGCAAGCTACCTGAAGCCCATGAGAAGTCCCACTGACTTCAGTGGGATTACTCATATTCTTAAATTAGGCACATGTTGAAATGCCTTGCTGAATCAGGGCCTTTAACTCCCACTTCAGTTCACTATCTTTATCAGGTGTGTATGTGTTTTGCTCAAGTGGGATTTAGCTTAATGAAAGTGAAAACTAACAGTACTGGCAAAACTTACATTTATGTAGTAATAATTGGGCTTAATTGTTTTAACTGCAACCATGTGCAAGTTTTAGTTTGAATTAGAGCTTGTTTCTTCATTCATACCAGTATGACCAGTTATCAATTACAGTATTCTACATGTAACACTGTAGCCCAGGGGTAGGCAACCTATGTCACGCGTGCCGAAGGCGGCACGCGAGCTGATTTTCAGTGGCACTCACACTGCCCCGGTCCTGGCCACCTGTCCAGGGGCTCTGCATTTTAATTTAATTTTAAATGAAGCTTCTTAAACATTTAAAAAACCTTATTTACTTTACATACAACAATAGTCTAGTTATATATTATAGACTTATAGAAAGAGACTTTCTAAAAATGTTAAATGTATTACTGGCACGCGAAACCTTAAATTAAAGTGAATAAATGAAGACTTGGCACACCACTTCTGAAAGGTTGCTGACCCCTGCTGTAGCCAGATCCTCAGCTGCTGTAAATTGGCATGAATTTCAATGGAGTTACATTGATTTACAGCAGTTGAGGATCAGGCTTTTTACATTCAAGCAATTATAAATATAACTTACATGACTTTAGTTCCTAATTTAAAAAAAAAGTAAAAAATAATTCTCATCTCAAAGATTAATTTTTATCCTTTATTCCACTGATTGCTTGACTTAAAAATAACCCCAAGCTCTGGGTGATATGTCACATAATTGAAATTAAGGCATATTTATACAAACATTCATAATGTCCATGTACACAATGGGCTATAATAGCACTGAGTGTACAATAAGTAGACAAAGTGAGTAAAATAGAAGAGGCCCAGAGAAAGGAAGTTGTTAAAGTGCTAAAGAGAAACAGATATGCATAGCTTGTTATATTAATTCATTAGGAGACCGTAGTATTGTTTTATTCCTTTGATTGCTGAGGAAGAGTGATCATCATATACTGAAAGTTAAATCAATACTTTGTCCTGCATTAACATCCACCATGTGTGTCTGTTTCACCATATCCTCTGAGGTTGCTGTGACAGAATAGGTGCCAGGGGAAACTTCAATGTAGAGATCTTTGGAAGCCTTTCTAGCCTGAAAGGGGAAAAAATAAATGGTAAGTAATACTGTTTGGAATTTTTTAGTTTATATAGTTACATTTCAACTGATATATTGACATATTAACATTTTTCAAAATATACTGGCAGGACGGACGTTAGTGGTAGCAAAATTTCTGTCCAATACAAAAATTAGCAAGCTGTGATTGTAAAAAATTGCCATATTCACATCCTTTCATTTTTTTTACGTATACTTAGGTAGAAATAATGTGCTAATTAGCTATCCTCTAACACTGGGAAAAATAGGGTTGTCAAAATAAATATAACTTTAATATGGGTAATAACACAAATTTAGTAGAAAAAAAATCTTGTTTGGGGTTCTGATAAAGATTCCATATTTCTCAATTTCTGTGGCCCAGAAGCCATAGCAACTGGTTCCTAAAACTGCTTCAGCAAATTAGCCTTTGGAAAATGTAAAGTATTTCTCTTCTTCCCACTGACCATTAAGCCTACTGCGTCAGAATTATATCTCTCCACCAAGTTAGCGCAATGACTGACACCCACAACCAAAATTAACTTTCCACCGTTGCAGCAGATAGTGTGTTCAGTAGTTAACATCTTTAAGGAGAATTCTGAAACACCATGTGATCTCCTCCCACAGTGGAATTTTCTAGGCCAGATCCTTGGCTGTGATATGGTCCCTTTGCATCATTCAAGCAGCACAGCTGGCTCAAAGTTACACCTGCCTGGCTTTGCTCCAGTACAGGAAAGGTGCCAGAAGTACACGAAGGTGTGTCTGAAGGACTGCTGGACTGTTACTGCTGGTGTAAGTTAGAGAATGCCTAAAACAATTTAATCATCCACTTACAATTCCTCACAAATTTCGCATCCATCCAAAATCCAAACATGGATCACCTTCATTAGACATGTGCCAAAATTTCACAATTTGGCTTCCATTTTGTGTGTGCACAAACACCTGTGTGTGTTTTCGTTCTAGCACTCACACCTATATGCAGTGGTGATAGATTTTGCACATGTACATTCTATCATATGTGATGGCAGGTAATAGGGCAAAATATTTTTTTGCATTATCCTTAAAACTTTTCACTTGACTATAAATAGGAGCTAGAATTTTCATTTATTGATTAGATTAAGTAACTCCAAATACTAACAAGTTGCTTGGGGGTTTCAGCTGGATTTGACACTGGAGAGGTTTCATTTTTCTGGAAAAGAAGTGGAAAGATGCTAGTCATTAAATTCCTTAACCTGTCAGTTCTGGATTCTGTTTAGTGTTCCACTTTGGGATCTCTTTCATCGTCCGTTAGTGTTTAGCTTATGCCCTGAAGCATTTTTCCAAATAAGTATCTTGCTATACTGGGTCAGAAAGAGTGCAGAGGAATTTTGATATAATTGGATTTAAAAATAAATAAATCATGGAAACATTAAGTTTGCAAAACCTAAATTTGGCTAAACCTGTATTTTGGTCCAAAATGTACCTGGTGAAGTCCCTGTAAGCAGCAAATACTTGCCTTTCCAATAAGGGAGGGCATGAGAAAGATGGAGTAGTCTTGTGTCAAAATGCAGAAAGTTCTAAAACTGAATTTACGCAATACAACACCTAAAACATTAAAACTGGACCGTGAGAAAAACTCAGATCACTTTAGTCCTTAACTGGAGTCCTCATTTTTTATTATTTTAATACAATTATCCCAATATGAACCTCACAATCTGCTGTCGTAAGGGGGTAAATTAAGCAAGTCTGGCAGGCTGAATCACTGAATGCTGTTGGTTCCACTGTTCAGTTTACCCCTGCAACATGATACATTATTATGGAGCATGCTGCAAGGACCTACAGTAGGAAAATTATATAAATGGCAGAAAAGATTAGTGGTAAAAATATGAAAACAAAAGTAGGAGAGACATCTTTGATCATTGGTAAAACTAAGAATGCTTGTTAATAACACTCTGGCTGAGAAATGGAAGCTCTGAGTACACTGAAAGTCTGAATTAGAGCCTTTATTCAAAGTCAGTTTTAGACCTTTCACCCTTCTGACAGTCGAACAGGCATACTTTGGCACCTGTGCCCCTTTCTGGTGCTGCTGTCCCCACGCAATTAGTCTCCTTCAGCCAAAATAGCTAATAAATCCTGTGTCACTGTATTATTACTATTGTTATTAGAAATGCAGGATAGGACTGCTGCAATGTGAGGACAACAGGGTGAAAGTGCCTTGGAAGTTGAATGTGTGTTACACTGCAGTGTGCCATACCAGTGTGTCACACAGCCATGCAGAGACCTGCATTTAGGATCCTGTTCCTTTGCTATGCAAGGATTGGGAATACAACACAGACAGCGCACACAGCCCTGGAAAGGGAGCACTTGAAGGAGTGACTCCCTTCTTCCTACTAGCAGGCATTTGGAGTGACTGCATGTGTCTCCTCCCACCCCCTCAGCTAGAGGGAAAGATCATCTCTCTCTAGATTCTTATATTGGCACTCATCACTGTAGTATCTGAGCACTTTAACTGAAACTCAGATTAGTGTGACAAAGGGCCTGGAGAGGGGGCAGGCACAGGGGGATCCCTGAGAACATTATGCAGACATCTCCATGTCTTGGATGAGGAAAAGAATGAAATTAAACATGAGCACTACACTTACCTCTTGTTCCAATGTCTGTAACAAGTTTTCTGCTGCTTGTCTGCTGTGATATCTGCAGATGTGTTTAATTTCATTCTCTTGGCATCTACTTGCTGGCACGTAGCTATAATATTTCTGGAAGACAGTTAAAGCAAAGAGGATTACATAGCCAAACATCACAACCACACCTAAGAAATCCCTTCTTTCACAGTGAAAACTAAAGAGCGGAAACGCACTGTTGTTGACCTTTTGAATTAAATCAGCTGATCTGTTCCCATGTTAGAAATGGGACTATACCCTGAAGCATCAAGTGACTTGAAACCAACCCCTTCAAACAAAGTACTTGAGAATGACTCTACTGCCATCTGCTGTTCCCACTCAAACAAAACACATGAAACTTCTGTAGATTTGCTCTGTTGGGTTCCTAGATGGTGAAAGTAGGAAGTTCAATTTTACTTATTTATTTCCTCCATCTGATCAGACATGTGGCCAATATACATTTTCGTTTCCAATTCCACTACCTTGCTTTACTCCTTTTTGTTACAAATGGAAACAGTTTACATTTGGCAATTGGTTAGTCTAATTTTTTTTGTTTATATTGTACATGTGCCCAAAATTACATAAAAATAGAACAGCTACACTGACATAATGGCTAATATGTCACATATCATTGCATCGTAAAAGTCAGGGTGGATCTCTCTGTAGTGAAGTTTGGGAGAAAAACTTTTGACATTAGGTAAAATTTTCCAAAAGTGCTGAAATGACTTAACAGCCTAAGCCCCATTTTCAAAAGTGAGTTAGTCACTTAGGAACACAAGTTCCACTGATTTTCAATTACACTTACACACTTTGAAAATCTGACCCTAGAATTTATGGGTAAGAGAATCCCCCCTCCCAAAATTATGATCTTGGAGAGCACATAGGACAGCATGGTCTAGTGGACTGAGCATGAAGGGTGGAAGCCAATGACTCTCATCCCCATCCCAGCTCTGCTACTGATTCCATTGAGATGTAGCAAGATTTAGGGTCTTGCCCAATTTCCTCTTTTGTAATATAGAGATGATAACTTCCTGTCCTGATTGATGGTTGACTAGTGTTTACACAATGCTTTGAAATTATAAAAGGTACTGTCCAAAACAAAACTACTTTAGTGGTGTGAATGTCTGTGTACCATTGGAAGCAATTGTGTCTATAGATGCATGGGCACTTTACAAGGGTAAATAGTGGTTAACAAGATTTATCTAGCACAGATATGATGTATGCAGTGGATAGCTCCTCCATTTGAAGTGTCTCTTTCTGCCCATAACTACTCCATAATCAAACTTTTCTTCCAGCTGAGAGGAAGAAATGGGCAGCTGCCTTAGGCTGTTACTCCATTACAATTCCATCAATGCTAGTAACAGTGGGAATGTTAGTACAGGCCAGGTGGTGGTAGTGTACATACCAGCATATTATCTAACCCAACTCAGAGCAGGTTTAAAAGACAGTGGTAAAAATGCATCAGTCTAAACTTGCTCTCACACAGATGCAAACTAGACACAATCAACTCAGGGCTAAACAGGGATTGGGAATGGCTGAGCCATTACAAACATTGAATCTATCTCCCCTTGTAAGTATTCTCACACTTGCTTCTTATCAAAGTGTCTGTACTGGGCTACCTTGATTATCACTTCAAAAGTTTTTTTTTCTCTTACTTAATTGGCCTCTCAGAGTTGGTAAGACAACTCCCACCTGTTCATGCTCTCTGTATGTGTGTATATATATCTCCTCGATATGTTTCACTCAATATGCATCCGAAGAAGTGGGTTGTAGCCCACGAAAGCTTATGCTCTAATAAATTTGTTAGTCTCTAAGGTGCCACAAGTACTCCTGTTCTTTTTACAGATACCATGGTGAGGGTGGGAGATGTTCCTAGATTTCTTGTTTTAGACAAGGCCCTAGAAGCCACTACCGAAGCTCTTATTGATCAACTTGTGAGGTTGCTCTGAATCTCTAATCCATTCCTAGTTTTCCTAACAGCAATGGAACTGAGCCACTAACAGGCACAACATTAGGATATTTCCCCCCATCCCTCCCAACATAAAATTTACCTCACACTCCTTTGTGGTTCGACTCATGAACTCCACTACTGAAGCAAATGCTGCATTGAGACGTTCAGAATCTTCTTCCTGTGATTAAACAAATTTGTATAAGTCATTATGTCATGTTATTTGGTTGAAAGCAAAAACCTGCTGAGGCACCTCTGCAGCTCATGCCTTGTGCATTTAATTCATAAAAGCCAGTCCAGTTGGACATTACTGCAGTGATGCTAGCAGCTTAAACAACAAAATCCTGATTAGTTCTGATGGTTTTCTCCACGGTGAAACTGAACCATCTGTAGGCTATTACTGTATGTTATGTAGCCAATTAAAAACTATGCCACACTGGCTTTACTCTATCCTTGGTAACATACATCAGAGGCAATGAAGACCTTTACTGTATGATTACATTCAGTCAACCCACGGCTACACTATGTGAAACAATTACCTGACTTCAGTCTCTCTCAAAGCACCGAGTTAGATAATAATTTATTTGTTAAGCAGCCTTGAAGATTTCATGCTTGCTTTGACTGTTTACCAAACAGAAAGGTAACCAAGCTTGACTTTGTACTAAGGGATATTAAAAAGTGTCCTCATGTGTTATAGCTAATTAAAATGTAAACACTACATGTCTAAGTCCTGCACATTCATATGATAGGTCCCTATGGGACATGAGGTATAAGGGCAATCATTAAGGATATGTCTATAATTAAAACACTGCAGCAGTATCGTCTCTCAGAGTGTGGATTTTTCCCTGAGAGATGCAGCTATACCAATGTAAGTTTTCAGTATAGACCAGCCTTAGATTAACATTTTTGTGGAACTGAGTTTCACATGTATTAGTTTATATTCACTGGTATTTTCAATCCTACAGCTCTCTCAAAATAAATCTTTTTCATTACATTCAATTTGCCTCCATTTCAAACCTACAATATTTGAACAATTGCAGTTAACATGTCACCTTCAAAGCTCAAGGTTAGCAGTGTCTTGACATGGGGCAATACTCAGTCAGCAAGTCGGGCTGCAATGCTTTTGCAACCCTCTCTGTCTTGTATTGATTTCACAACTTACACAGCAGCCTGACAACTCTACATGGTAGAAAAACTAGGAGAGTCAACTCAGTGTGACCATGCTGAATGAGTTTCAGTAGAGCATGATCACTCCCTGCATGAGCAATAGAGAACGTACCACCTTGTTCCAATTTAAGTGTCCGCAGATATATACAGAAAATCTATTTAAGTTATTCAGGGAAGGGTTCAGTCTCCTTACCTGTCTGTAAGATGCTATACAATTCTCTATCACTATAAATTAAACACACCCACCACCTAGAAAATACCCAAGCACCAGTAAGTGCTTAGTTTGAGAACACCGTTTAAAGTATTTTTCATATTTAAAAAATTAAAACCATAGTTAATAAGCTGAAGTATAAATTACTGTAATATATTAGCATCAATTCATCCATCACTAAAATACAGATACCTGCGGGGCTAGATGGGACAGCTGTTTAACAGCACACAATTTCAGGCAGGAACTAAACACTACCTTACACAATTGAAATTTCAGAGGAATTTTTAGGGAACTAACACCATTGTGCAAGACTGGGAGTTGGCTACTTAAAGCATTATTGCACTGCAGGCATTATTTTTTATTATTATTTTTTATTTATTTATTTATTATTTATTTTTTTATTTTATATATATATATATATATATATATATATATATATATATATAAAAAATTTATTATTATTGCCTGCATTACTCTGGAGGGAGTTTATGGTGTCGGAGACAAACATGATTTGTGTGTGCTGAGCAAGTCATCCAAATATCCAAAGGAATATAGGGTGAGATTTTAAAGAGACTTGTGCTCTCAAGTCACTTAGATACTTTTGAAAATCCTAGCCATAGTCAACATGCACTGACTCCTTACAATATTTATTCTTAAAAGTTATAGGGCATGGGACCAAAATTCAAATGGTGCCCTTACTTAAATCTCAGTATGCCACTTAACAGTGGACCTTTTTCCTCAACAAAGGTTCAACTGCTCACTTTATTTTTCAAATCATCTTGCACATTACTTAATATGGCCAGGTGTGTTATAGTGTCATATACAATAACTGCATATTTTAGATCCCCAAAGTGCTTTGAAGATAAAAAGAAAATTGTATGTGCCAAGTGTCTATACATTATATTAAACTTAGCTATTAATAATGCAGAAAGACTGCAGAACTATATTAAGCAAAAATGCTATTCAACAGATGTGCAAACACAAGGGACTAGTGGTGGGATCTACTTATCGTGTCATATGTTGAACTCAGGGCCAGCTCTATGTTTTGTAAGAGCTGTCTGCCAAGACATACGGGACTTCCCAGCTTCCTTTGAGCTGTAACTTAGGGCTTATCTACACTTACATTTTATAGCGCTCTAACTTGCTGGCTCAGGGGGGTGAAAAGTCACCCCTGAGTGCAGCAAGTCTGGGCGCTTTAAAGCGCTAGTGTAAACAGGTTCCGAGCGCTGGGAGCCACACTCCCAGCGATCAGAGCCAATCCCCTCATGGAGGTGGATTACCAGCAGCGCTCGCACGTGACCACACTCGCACTTCAAAGCGCTGCCGTGGGAGTGTTCCCGCGACAGCACTTTGAAGTTTCCAGTGTAGCCATGCCCTTAATCCCCCATCTCTACTCTTGCCTAAGCAGGGAGAATGGACTGAAATTCTCTGGCAGAAGCAAGAGGGATGGGCACTAGAGAAAGTATACAAGTGATAAGTTGGTTGTGGAAGGTTGCCACCTTTAAAAAGTATTTTTAGCTGGCCAAAATAATGATGCCAGGTTTCCACGGTGACATTGTTACAGCCCCATCTTCTATAAGCAACGTCATCAATGAGTTGTTACAGACCTGACACGATAGAGTCAGAGAAGAGAATCTGAAGTTCTTCTAGCCCCATAAAGTCTGGATTTGTTTGGTTCAGCAAGCAGGTCTTCAAGAGGGGGTACAGGGGGGACACAACATCCCCCAAATCCGTAACTGCCCTGGGTAAATCAGAAGAGGCCGCAACCCTCCACACTTAAGTGGCTATTCACGCCTAAAACTAGCACCGGATTAACTACCCCTGTACTCTTCCTGGAGCGCAAGGGAAAGCTGCACTGATTGTTCCTAAGGGTTCGTTAGTAAAAGCCAGACTGGGAGGAATTGCTGTTTCTAGACACTGACCACAGGCTCCGGCCAGCTCACTTTCCGCCGCTTAGCCCGTTCCAGGACCTCCTGAGCCAGCCCTGCCGTGCGCTGAGCGATGCCACAGGTCCGCCTCGCTGGCCGGCCGCTCGCCATTCCTCGGGCCCTGGCCGGAGAGACACAGGCAGACTCATCAGAACAGCCCCCCCGCTGGCTTAGGGGGAGACAGAGCCCGGGGGTGGGAAGTGGGGGCCAGCTCCCCGATGCTGTCTGTGCTGTAGGCTCAGCGGGGCAGGGCCTGGGCCTTGCCAGGCAGCCCGACAACCAACAACCGCAGAGGCAGGCAGCGCTGGGAAGCTCCCCGGGGCTAGTGCCGAGGGGCCGCTGCAGACACTGCCCCACGGGGCGGGGGCAGGGCCTCGGGCCGCCCGGCGGCGGCACTCACCGTGTCTCGGTGCAGCGCGGGGGGAAGGGAGGGAGGAAGCAGCAGGGCGGTTGGCTGCACAGCTACAGGCGGGCAGGGAGCAGCGCCTCCCTCCCCGCGCTTATCAAGGCCAAATGCCGGCTCCGCTAGCTGCGGCGGCCTGCGCGGGGCGGGGCGGGGGCTGGTGCCGACTGCAGGCCGGTGCGCCGCGGCCGCAGCTGCTGCTCCCCTCGCCCCACGCGGGCCGCGCCTGCGGCTGGAACACGGACAGTGCATCACAATGCGCGTGCGCTGAATGGCCGCCGCGCGCCGCCTGCTCCGCGGACACGCCCCCCGCCGCGGGAGGAGCTCAGTCTCGGGCCTGTTCCCAGGGGCAGTTCTCCCGGTTCTATAGCGGGGCTCTGCCTCGGGGAAAGCGCTCCCCGGGCCTCGCAGCGGGGCTTGCCCGACCCCGCGCGGCTCCCAGGGGCGATGCACCCTCCCCTGCAGCTGGAGGTAGCTGCTCCCCCTTAGGGTCAGGAGTACAAGAATGGCTGAACTTCAGTTTCTTAGCCCAAAAACCCCTCTCGGCATATTAACGATATGAACGTCCCCATGGCAACCCCGAGCAGATTATAACCCCTGCTCGGTAAAGTTCCTTGAAATTGTATTAGTCCTCTTTGTCAAGTGCAGGTCTCCTCCTATGGGCTCTAAATCAGTGGTTCTCAACTAGGGGTACCCGGAGGACCCAGAGGTCTTCTGCGGTGGGGTGGGGGACATCAACTCATCTAGAGATTTGCCTCGTTTTACACCAGGCTACATAAAAAGCACTAGCGAAGTGAGTACAAACTAGAATTTCATACAATGACTTGTTTATGCTTTTCTATATGCTATACACTGAAATGTAAGTACACTGTTTACATTTCAGTTGATTTATTTTATAATTATATGGTAAAAATGAGAATGTAAACCATTTTTCAGTAATAGTGTGCTGTGACACTGTTGTATTTCTATGTCTGATTTTGTAAGCACGTATTTTTACATGAGATGAAATTTAGGGTATGCAAGACAAATCAGACTCCTGAAAGGGGTACAGAATTCTGGAAAGGTTGCTCTAAGTGACTCCAGATGAAATGTGTCCCATTTACAAATAAAATGATTGTTTTAGTTTAATTGTCAGACCTGCAAATGCAGCCTGGGCTCCCAGAGCTAAGCAGGACTCTGTCCATCTCCTACATCATCCCCAGTTTTGTAGACCTGACTGTATTTGAAGATACACAAGCTGGAACAGAATCTACAGCTCAATCAGTCATAGCAGCATTGAGTCTGCAAGGTGAACAGTAGTAAGAAAAGCAGTAAAAAAGTTAGTTTTGTCACTAAAATTAGCAGGTGGGACAATAGGCACAAAGCTAGATCTGTTGAATAACAAGGGGCCAGTTTTATGTAGTCATCTTTGAGAGTACCATACAACTGCTCTTAAGTCATTAACAACAGCAGGGCTGGATTTAGGACAGGTGACCTAGGTGCTTTGGGTGCTGGGCTTTGGGGGTGCCGTTTTTGTTAATGACAAAAGGGAAAATAGAATGTTTGAAGTAAAATGTTTCAGGTATTCTGTATGTGGATTCATTTTTCACTAACCTCCTAGAATGTTCTGGACCTTTGTAGAATCTCATAGAATCTTCCAGACTTTCTGAGAACTACATTTTCCTCAAACCTCCTATAATGTTGCCTCACAGGTATATAAGGGCGGGAAGTTGCAAGCCAATCAGTGAGGAGATATGAGAATGAACTGAAGTGAAGTGAGAGCCTAGCTGCGATATTGTGAACCTTGTTTTATTCTGTAATTGTGAAAGTGTACTTGTGTTGTAAGACTTGAAGAGTGTAAGTAGCACCTAATTAAGGACATATTTACTGAGACACCAGAGATATATATCGAACCCCTCTCCACACAACAGTATAAAAGAAATAGTTACTTCTTTTGCCATGCTTAACATAGAACATAGACTTTTGCTCTCCTTAATACTGTCTGTTTTCCCCTGTAGAAAATAAAAGATGTCACAAAGAAGACTTGGAGCTCAGTAAGCAAAAAGCTTAATTGCAATCTAGTTTGCAACAAGGGGCAACTTTGATGGGAAAATATCAGAAACAGAAAAACGTAGGGTTAACATTCTAAGACTGTCACCTACTATAACACTATTTAATACTGGTCCAGCCAATGTTGGTGCAGTTCAATTTCTTGATGTTAGTACATTCCAGTTATTCTTAAAATTAAAAAGTTTCTATAAGCTTAGAGGAAATGAATTTTTTTATTTGCTTATATATGGCATGAATAAATATAGGTTTACAGATCCCAGTGTGCAGATTTAGCATCTTATATGACAGAGATAAATCATGCATGCGCAAATTGTGCATCAAAGTCATGACATGGGCTACAAATGTAATAAAAAATAAGGTATTTCAAAGTTTAACAAAAGTTTAACTAACTCAGAGCCCTTCCCATCTAGTTCCCTATCTATGGCTGTTGGGGATTTTTGCTGCTAGCAATTGCAGATGGGCCACATGCCATTTTAGGCAATTTCATCATACCATCCCTTCTATAAACTTATTAAGCTCAGTCTTGAAACAAGTTAGGTTTTTTGCCTCCCCACTGCTCCCCTTGAAAGGCTATTCCAGAACTTCACTCCTCTGTTGAGTGGAAACCTTGGTCTAATTTCAAGCCTAAACTTGTTGATGGCCAGTTTAAATCCATTTGTTCTTGTCTCAGCATTAGCACTTAACTTAAATAACTCCTCTCCTTCCCTGGTATTTATCCCTCTGATGTATTTATAGGGAGCAATCATATCTCCCCTCAGCCTTTGTTTGGTTAGGCTAAACAAGCCAAGCCCTTTGAGTTCTCTACATGTAAAAGGACTTGTATCTCATTTAAGCAATATTATACACAGTGATTTAAAGCAGTACTCTACCTTGGAGGTATTACGATATTATATTTCATGACATTATATGCCAGAAAAAATCCTGAAATTATTTGTAAAGCAATGTGACACTTCATAGCTACAGCTACACTTCTTGCAAAATCACTTTCTGTGAAACCATTGCTCTTTGGTGGTATGTTTAAAATGATACGAAGAAAAATGACCACACTTCATGCAGCTGTTGCTTGCTACATAATGCCAGTGCTATAAAGTTGCACATCTACATAAAGAGCATAGGGTCCTGGTCCAGTTTTGGAGCATTGCTGCCATTGTGTTCTCCTGACAATTTCAAGGTGGTAGCTCAGCAAAAACATGTAACTATAATGTAATTTGTCATTCATTAAGTTGCCTTTTAAAATGAACAAGGCGGTAATACTTTCAAGGACATTTAACTAGTTACTTTTGCTGTGGCGTATCAGAGTTTATGAGAATACAATATTACTACTATTCAATACCAAAAAAAAAAAAAAAAAATTCTCAGGGCTGCATTGGAACCAGCAAAAGCACAGGAAAGCTAAAGTCTCGTTTCATTCTGGGTATGCGGAGTTTTGGTTTGATGCTCAGATATAAACCCCTCAAACTTGTGGTTTATATGGCATTGCTGACAGACCCTTACCTAGAAAATTGAACCTTGTCCACATGCATTGTGGCATTGAAGGCACTGTTGCAAGTTACTGGAAGGCTGGTAACATACCCTTAGGCCTGATTGTCCATTCTACCCAGGCCTCTCTACACTGTTTTGATAGCAAAAAGATTGTAAAACAGGCATATCTGTTCATCAGAGAACATCCCCAGTGTAGTGGGACTCACGCTGTCTCTACACCATCTGGAATCAGGGCTACACCACTCTCTCGGAGAGGACTGTACAGGAAGCTGTTGCAGCTGAGTGTATGTTAGAGCAGTTCCGAGGGTTTCTAACCTATGCTGGGGGGAGGAGGAGAGGCATAGAGGGAGGAGCAAAGTGGGCATACAAACCTTCTTTACATTCAGTTGCTGTGCTCAGTGCAGCTTGGCTAGAGCCAACAATGAGGCATGTTGGCCCTGATTTTCAGTTCCTCCATCCCTCTGTTTTAGGCTTTGCCTGTGCTAGCTGTAATCTATCCAGCAAAGGAAGAAAAGGACCCCCTCTTAACTTACATGTTATCAGCATCTCTCAATTGCTTCATTAGAGCAGCAGCCAGCTGCTTGCCAGAGACTCGCTTTGTAATAAACAAGCCCTTCCCAGCTGGCCTGAAGTGATAAATTTAAGCACATGCTTAAGTCTCCCTTTTCAGCAATGCACTTAAGCATGTGCTTAGACCAGGGGTGGGCAAACTTTTTGGCCCAAGGGCCACATCTGGGTATGGAAATTGTATGGTGGGCCATGAATGCTCACGAAATTGGGAGTTGGGGTGCAGGGGGTGGTGAGGGCTCTGACTGGGGGGGTGCAAGCTCTGGGGTGGGGCTGGGGATGAGGGTTTGGGGTACAGGAGGGTGCTCCCGGCTGGGATCAAGGGGTTCAGAGGGCAGGAGGGAGATATGGGCTGGGGCAGGGGGTTGGGGGATGAGAGGGGGTCCAGGCTCCAGGTGGCGCTTACCTCAAGCAGCTCCCAGAAGCAGCGGCATGTCCCCCCTCTGGCTCCTATGTGGAGGTGCAGCCAGGCAGCTCTGCATGCTGTCCCGTCTGCAGACGCCGCCCCTGCAGCTCCCATTGGCCATGGTTCCTGTCCAATGGGAGCTACAGGGGTGGCACTTGGGGCGGTGGCAGCGTGCCGAGCCTCATGGCTGCCCCTATGTGTAGGAGCCAGAGGGAGGTTGTGCTGCTGCTTCCGAGAGCCACACGGAGCCACAGTACACAAAGATCAGGGCAAGACCCCGACCCCGCTCCCTGACGAGTGCCAGAGCGGGGCAAGCCCCAGACCCTGCTCCCCGGCGGCAGCTCGAGGGCCAGATTAAAATGTCGGAAGGGCTGGATGCGACCCCTGGGCCGTAGTTTGCCCACCCCTGGCTTAGGCGCTCTGCTGAATGGGGCCTACACCAGCAACGGGGATGAAAAACAAGTTGGTTCAGGTGTTTTCAGTGTATCTGTTTCATTTGTTTTACATGATGGTGAGAACAATCAAGAAAGATCTTCCCCATTCCCCTCACCCCCCAGTTCCCAGAAGCCGGGCTTCTCTCTTTGGGCAGGATTTTCAATGTTCATTTTGGACAGCTACTGAGACTAGAGGCTCAGTCACCCATACCTTGTTTTTTTTTCAAATGACAATGTAAGCGCTTTGCAAAATTACATTTTTTTTAGCGCTTTAGAGGAAATCTAAAAGGTGGGTGACATGGGTGGCTGCCCCGGGT